ACGGCTGTGGCCATTAATTGATAGTATCACATCTGGGCGATGCCGACGTTCAATTTCGAATATTAATGTCGAAAGGTCTCTGGCTAAATTGTATAATCATATTGGTCTATAGCAACCGTAATTAAAAAAAACATGTAGGTACCTACTCTTAAGAGACACTAAAAAAAAAATCTCAACATTTGTATTTCGAAACTTATTCGTCATAACAAACGCAAATTTTTATCTTTTTTTTTTCACTTATTTGATGGTACAGTTACCATTTGTTATTGCATTGCAACAAAAAGTTACTTTCAATACTTTTTAACAAATAATTTATTAGGCATTATAATTAGTACTAGCTTAAAAAACTCTTAAACTTATTATTATTATTAAACTTATTTTAACTTTATGTAAGTAATATAAAATACTATGGTACAATTATTTATAAGTAGGTATCTGAAATATAATATAATAAATTTTAGCATGGACAAAATAATGACATAACATGTAGGTACAATAATTAACCTCTTGACCGGTCGGGTCGGTCACAGACATTAGATCGTTTTTTTTTAATTATGCGTTTTGTTTTTGCTAGACAACGTTTGAATAAATTTACTTTTGTTTTTTTTCCACTGCGTAGAAGACAGATCTTTTTAGTTAGCAATTATATCCGCTTGAGTGCATGTCGCAAGCTTTTATGTCATCTTTTTATAAAGAGGGGAGACTAAACCGAGCACATCGGCCGGTGTAAATACGCACGCTATTTTCGTATAATGCCAGCAACATGATTTAAAGTTACGAGCGAATATATTCACTCAATGTCTCAGTTATTTGCACTACAAGATAAGGCGGATCATATAATTTACAATATGTAAGTAGTATTTCTTGTTTACAGAATTATATAGGAGATGAGGTAATTTACCGTGGCAGAGTAATGTTTCGGGACATAATATGCGCCGGTTCGACAAGATCCATACCCCACGGCCTTATAGAAAACCGGTGTTAAGGATTTCTTTAGATGCTCTTCACCTAGTGAGTAAACCGGAGCTCCAATAATTGTAAGAAAAGGGGTGGTGGGGGCATTCAAAGGGGCATTTGTGTCTTGCGATGCAGATGACCAAGCGCGGTGGTAGTAAGTTACCTTCACGTGACCCGTCTGCTGATTAGCTGTTTTTTTTTTTTAGGAATATATCCTGTGTTGCGGGGGACTTTAGAAACTAACATGAAACGGACACAAAGAACACTCCAGACTCAGAACAATAATTTGTGGATCACACAAAGTGTCGTCCCATGTGGGGTTTAAACCCACAATGCTCGGCGTTGTAAGAAGCAACGTGGCTAACGCTGAAACCAGTACGCCATCCGTGCAGTCAAATTTATAAAATAAAAAAACAATTACGTGTCAAAAAAAATACGTCCACATCAATTTTTAGTCTTTGGATAAACTACTAAGAAACGTTGCGTTTTATATACGATTAATATTCATAATATAGATCGGATCTGTTAGTGTAGTGTTTAGTGATCGTTCATATTAAGCCAGGGGTCGTAAGTTCGATACCAACCCAATACGAATGGTAGCGTAATGAACACAATCATTTGTTCTGTGAATAGCATATAGTATATACTCTGTATTTAGTATATACTCAGGCTACTGATAAATAATTATCAGTAGTCTCGTTAACAAAGTACAGGCTTAGCCAAATGCGACATCATAATTATTTTGTAAAATATTTTAAAAAACTCTAATTTGCTGTATTTAAACAAAACCTCCTTTCTATGGAGAGGCCTACGTTCAGCAGTGGACAGCTAAATGCTGTTGATGATGATGAATTCCAGAAATAAAACATCGATTTAACTATAACATCGCTACTTCTATTTATAAACTTCCACCATTTAAGAAATAAAATCATTTTTCGCAGCAAAAACTTCCTGTGAAGCGTTTTAAACTCATTCGAAAGTGTTGTTTTTTATAACTAAATCTGGTAACTGAAATGAAGTAACCGTTTTTATAACAAGTGTTATATGAAAAAAAACTGGCTTTAATGTATCGTTTTATAAAAAGTGTACCATTCGAGAGCATTGAATGATTTAATTACTCATTCATTCATACCAGTCAATCAAAACGCTGCATTTCTTTCCGTGTCTTCTAATTGATTTGAAACAGTTATTAATTTGTTGCCTAGATATTCTCTTTCATCTCGAATACAGTACGAAATACAAAAGCGTAACATAAACGTTTAATTATCAACACCATTCAATTAATTGTCTTCGAAATTGAGTCAAGACTTTAAACGCTTTTGAAGTTTATAATTAATATGTGATCTTTAATTATATGTATATCTCCACACATCGCTTTTAAGTTACATTGATCTCATTAAAAACAGTCCGACGTTTGACTAGTGAATTTAGATTTTGTACGTATAAAGAAAGACGTAAGAACCATGTACCTACATCAATTTTGGCCAGACCGATTGATACCCTTAACCAGACTAGAGAAAAATAAATAAACTAGAAATTAAGTAACAGAAAGACAGATTATTGTTACCATTGTTAAGAGAAAAGCAAGTCTTGTTAGACATTCTTTTGCTTTTGGTTTATGGAAGCCTTCTAGCAGTTTCGGCATTTAATGCAGACTTGTCCATTAGTTATTGGCGCGGCACAGCTCAGTGAGGCATAAAACACATTCAAATAAATATATTAATACTATTTAGTAAAACTAATAAATAATGTGTCATTTACGACCGACATCGTCGAGTAAAATGAATTAAAGAAGATTTAGATTTTATGTTAATTAAAACATTATAGCTACACTAATAAAAATATTTAAAACAACTTTATTACAAGCGGAAGCAACTAATGCATTTAACAATAAAAAATTAGCGCGCTCGATAGAATTAAAAAGAAAATGAAAGGTGCCAAACCAATTTTGATATAATTTTCTTGCATATTTTGAATCGTGATGTAAAAAGTATTCACGCTGTGGGTGAACACTCAATCAAACAATTTATGAAGTGGTTAAATGCAAATTAACGATGAAGCAGTATGAACTCTGTGTGACTGACTAAAGTTAATGTCGTCATTTCAAACTGTACTTGTTGAACGGGCTATTTTAAATTAGTAGTCATTGTTAAATTTTCATTCTGTAATTTTGCAGTCAGAATAATATCGCAAATTGACACAATCAAAAATTTGCATCAAACTGGTACGTTCGTAATGGTCAGTTCGTAGATTAAAAATGAGTGTAAAACTCCGTGGCACGATCGAACACAGTTTCAGTGCTTTAGACTAACATACAGACGCAACTTTAGCCATTGTAATGAAAAAAAAAGTTATGATTGCCGTTTTTTTATATATTTCTTAGAAGAGAATAATATTTGATACAAGCAATAAACATCTCCGGTACGGTACGATTTACTTTAGGTTTCGATCTTTTATAGCTTTTAACTATAAACAATTTTTAAAAATGGAAGATGTACTTCCATTTTGAAAAACACAAAAGTTTTTTTTTTTTAAGTGAAGGTGTAAAATTGTCTACGGTTCCTAATAAGACGAGGTTTATCTTTTCAGTTGAGATATTGTAACACCAAAAAAATTGAAAGACTAAAATTAATACAAAAATGATATTAATTTGAAGATTTACATTTGATTTACATATCTGAGTCCTGTTTAATATAGTTGACTAAAATTACTTTGATAATTATAATTGCAATGCATACTCGTTATGAAGGTAGTTTTATACAAAAACCCCGCCAAAAAGGTTTTAGAATTTACACAATATTTTGAAAGTGAAATTGATAATGATTGCCTAGATAAGCATAACATAATGAAATTATTTAATACAAAAATGCCGCCAAAAATATTTGGGGTTTCCCCTAGAAATAAGAAAGTGGAAAATTGAGTATGAGCCATATTGATATAATTAATTAACATTAGTTCTTACAAAATATCGATGTAAAAATGTTGTTCTAAGAATACCGGCGTACCTAAATTTGTCTAAAGAATAATACGGCGCGTGTTCCTATTGTTATCTACCTAGACAACGGGAAATGCCGCAGTTTCCCGCGGACAAGCAACACCAAAAGGCCTAATGACCGAGCGATGTCAATCACATTAATTGACAGTGTCTGGGTACGAAGTTATTTTCGTTTTTGTCTATTTCGTGAACATCGTAACATTTAAAAATTCTGTTCTCAAAATATTTTTTAAGAATGTTTCAAAGTTTTTAACTAATCTCTTTCGAGCTTTTTTTTATTTAATCATGTGTCAACAAAACGTAACCTCAAAACCAAGAAATCAACAACGTAACGTGATCATGACAAGACCGTAAACGAAACGTTTTATCAGTCAACAAACTAGGATTATCAGTAATTGCATGACTTCTGGGACTATCATGGTAGCATTTCGTGAATAAATCACGACGATGAAACGAGAAATGTACAAAACACGGCCATTTTCGTCGAGTCTACTTAGACATAGAATTGTCAATTTGTGTATATAAATATTGTAACTCACCCTCTCAACATCTAGGTCGGTCCCTGTACACAGTCTCTTGCCACCACTACCGTTGTAAGCCATCGTGCACCACAAAACAAAACACAAATCACACCGAAACGCGTTCCGCTGAAATCGAATTCAATAGTACCTCCCTATACGGCGGTCTCGAGCAGACTGACTGAATGAATGAAATAATATTGAGTCGAGAACGAATGAGGAGCGGGACGCGCTTATAAGAAATTGCCATAGATGATGTAGTCTTTCTAAATTAGTATATTTTCGTAAAATATATTTTAATTTTAATCGATTTTTCACTATCTCGTTACAAAAAGTCTGATTTGAATTAAATACCAGCTTCTTTTTAAGCTTAGGTAACTAATTTTCGATCATATTTAAATATTCTATGGTCTCTGATTATTCCAGTCGAAAGGTTATTGAACTTTGAGAACGTCACTTGGTTGTATTGTATCGTATTTAATTCTGCCCCCAAAATAACAATTTATGTATTAAAAATCTCTAATTAAATCATGAGTGTAAACGAAGACGAAATAGAAATAAAAGTTGAATATTACGAAACATTTGACTTAGACCCTTTGCATGATAACAGAGACAAAACAACAGAAAATAATCTCGACATGAATTCAGCTGTCGTTGTGGGACATAGAAATATAAGCAAAGTAAGTTCTCAGTACTTTGACGAATAGCATGTCTAATTTATTGAATTACCTGAATTACTCCGTTTTAAGGTAGTGATTTGACAACAAACTGTATAAGATCCAGCTTTTTTTTTATTGGGACTAATCCCACCCACACGCCCACCACTTTAACTCCTGTACACCAGGATCCACAGCAGTGACCCACGAACACACCGAGTTATGACACTCGGGAAGTCCCAGGCAGAAATTAAACTGTCTTGGAACCCGCAACGAAATTCAAATTTTAATTCAAACGAAGATCCAGCATCTTCACATTTTTGATAAATTTTTGGTGCACTGCCAAACAGAAATCGTCAATTTTGTCCGACGCTTGTAGTAAAAAACTAACTATTCCCACTTACTACTGAAGCACTAAAATAAATAGTTTTTAACAATCAGTGTTAGTCTTTATGTTTTCAATTTCAATTGTTTTAAAATTTAATGATTGATTTAACATGAATTTGCTTTACTGTTTTCAGGAAGCGGCGCTTGGAAGCTCAGTTCAAAATAATAAAGGGGTACCAGTCGCAGATAAAATTAATGCTGTTAAAGTAAGACTAAAATATTATATTTGCCAAATAAGTCACCTTTGAAACTTGCTAGTTGTTATATTTAATATACAAATTGTAAGTCAAAGAAACAATTACTCAGGTTAACACTGTGTTCTGTAATGTAGTTCATCATCATCATCAACAGCCTTTAATAGTCCACTGCTGGACATAAGCCTCTACTGTAATTCATTTAATCATTCACTTGTGAACTTGATTAAAGTACCTCATGAACTAATTAAAATAAGTGTTATATGTGTACTAAAACAGTTACAAAAACTGTTTATTTAACAAATATATTAAAGTGAGTTTTTTTGTGACTCTTTCATACAAAAAAAAAAAAGTAGGTAATGTACCTTTCATCCAATAAAAAATAGTTTTTTATTGGATGAAAGGTACATTACCTGAGGTATGTTCCCAATAAAATAGTAAAATTGAGAAAGAAATTGTTTTGGATTTGTCAATAACATTAGTCAAAATACTTACAAACAAACTTTTAGGCTACTGGAGCTGCTGTTAAAAGCTAAATGTAAACATCTTTTCCCCCCATTACTCTTTGGCTCCAGACTACAATTTAAAGACAAACATTAATTTTAATATGCACTTGTAAGAGTTTTCAAAAACAATTAAAAGTATTGTTTTTTTCATATTTCAGGAACGAGAATTAGAAACCCTGTGGTATAAACTAGTAACAAACTCTAGAAAATATGTGTGCAAATTTTGTGATCGCTCATATACAACAGTACAAACATTACGGAACCATGTGAGACTTAAACACCCTTCAAAGTATCAAGAAATAAAGATTTTAACTATAACCGGTTTAAGAAAAAAGAAACTGAAGTGCCATATTTGTACCAAAACATTTAAAAATATACTTGATTTAGGAGATCATATTCAATTTCACGGTTTGAATAATATACAAAAATCATGTCCTATATGTCATGCATTTTTTGAATCGGAAATGGAGGTATCAAATCATGTAATAAGTGAACACAAATCCTTAAAAAAGATACAACATACTTGTTTTATATGTGGGTACAGTACATCAAAACTTTCTCATTACAAACAACATGAAAATACTCATTTGCAAGACAATAAGAAGAAATGTCCTCACTGTGATTATTCAACAAATTATCCATCAAATTTAAGGATACATGAACGAATACACACAAATGATAAACCATATATGTGTGATTATGGAGAATGTGATTATCGTTGTGCAACAAAATCAGCTCTCTCCAGCCATCAGTTGAAACATGATAAGGAAAAAAATATGCTGTACTGTGATAAATGTAGTTATAGCACTGTATATAAATACAGTTTAAAGAAACATATTGACAGTCATAGTAGAAATAGTGTTCGAAAGAGACTGTGAATATTCATTCAGGTGTCAGACGAGCAGATAGTGCAATGACACTTCATGGCCGTAAACACTTGCAGCTTCCGGGAGGGCTGAACAACAATGGTAAATTAATTCTTACAGTGTTCTTCTAACACAAGATAGTCCTCCAACCTCTGAAGGTGACCATGCCTGCTAGGCTGCCACGGAATAGTAAATGATGGGATGTGGAATTGAGAATATATTCCAAGATTAATGATGAGCTGATTGACCTTTATAAACATTATTTTAAAATGCAGGAGTTGCCAACGCTTAGGGCATAGGCCATGGATACTGGCCATTTCTTTACAGTATTCCAATATTGTTTTCATTATGTATAGCAGCTGTTGTTTGACAGCCAACTTAATTGTAGATTTACACCCAAAAAAAACAAGACTGAACAATCTTTACATTTAAAATGAAAGGCATTACAAATAAATTTTATTTTTTTTATATTTGCCATTTTTAATAACTAATTAAACTTAACTAATATTTACATTTCACATCAGTGTTGTTATTGCATTCACATTGCATTGTACTTGCAAATTTTCCTTTGCTTGAACTATGTCTTTATGGATTTTTTATTTCCATTTTTAATATCTATGAAATTGAATTGTACAACAAAACTATGTCTGACACAATCGAATTTCAGAGTGAAGCTCAATAAGTGTTTACATAGTCAAGTATTTGTACATAGCCAAAACTGGTGTCCGTTTACAGTGCAATTAGTGGTCTTGGGTTGTACTTCTGCTGGTTAATATGCAACACAATGCTAGGGCTCCACTTGACATACAAACCACAGACACCACTGGTCTAGTCATGAACTTACGTACTAAATAAGTTTGATTCTATGTATTAAAGATAACAGCCTAGTCTAACCAGTAATTTAATACTTATTATGACATCATCATAAGTATAAAATCATCATCATCATCTATCCGTCTGGTGATAGATTAAGAATACACAGTGTCCACACCTCAATTCATCCCATAGGTGTCGTAAGAACCGACTAAGGCAGCAAACTACGCAGGACAACAGCACTGCAAAAAGAAGGAAAACTTGAAACATACCCTATACCAACCCGTCTGGCCAGCGTGGCATCGTAGGCCAAAACCTCCATTGTAAGCACACCTCCTCCCACAACCCTAGTTGGTACTAGTAGATATCGAAGGTTTACAGAAAGGCTGTTTTCGGATTTTATAGAGCTACAACTACCTGTAATGATTGCCACAGATGTCCGTGTGGCAACCGGGACCCAAACATGCTCTTCGAGGTACAGAGGGGTCTAATTGTGTTAAGAAATGGTCACCCATCCATAGACAGACCTGGCTAGGATTGGTTAACACTGCAAACTGTTAACATACTCGGTTACCACATAGCCACGAGCCCCTCTCAATATAATAAATAAATATGTTTATTATCATCATCATCATGATTTCAGGCATAGGATATTCACTGCAGAACCCTTAATGATGTCCAAGAAAACTGGTATTGAATTTATATAATACAACACATTTTCCAATGAGATTTAACATCCTCAATCATTTGCCATAATATGCTATAGTCTGGTTGAGTATGTGTAATGTAGTTTTTTTAAAAGGTTTAAAGAAACATCTAAAATACTTTGGATGTTTATCACACTCTTTTTCACACTATATATATATCCTATACAGCACGCATTTTACAAGGAGTGCCATTCCCAAGTTTAAAATTTGGTATCCTCTAGGCTCCGTTACATAAGATATTTTTAAATTAGATGTGTTCATGCCACTCTGTGGAGTGGAACTGTTATATTTTTGAAAAACTATTTAACATTCAATCAATTTCAACTATGCATTACTTAAAGCATTGTTCTTCTGCCTATAATATGAAATGTTGGAGATGAAATCAATGTGGCTTGGGTTTGTGACCATCAACATAGAAATTTCTTGTAGCTTTTGGTAATTGTATTTCCATACCTTCCAATTCTTTAGTCAGCACTATTTGACAACCTGAAAAGGCAAAGCGTGAACAAAAATTAGATCAATACTGTAAGATATAAGCCATTTTGCATACTGAAACAGAAGAAGAATTTTGCATACGGGAAAGGAGAAACCAAAGATACAGAAACATACAAAATTAGGTATCACCCTTCCTAAGGAGAGACCTAAGTCCAGCCAGTAGATGACTAGAGGTTATTGATGATGATGTTTTTATTTATATTAATTTAATTTAAAGTTAAAGCAATGGCAATTAACCAACATTTACAATGTTTACACAGATGTTTAGTAATCAGTGAATGACTCAAAGCCTATCACGAAATAACAAAAAACGTGTTTTTGTTTCTCATAAGAAAAGTTCAATATTTGGTATACAAACCTAATCTAGAATTTTCTTTAAGAAAAGGGGCCATGTCTAACAAATCGTCTTCTTTTTCCTCGGAGGCTGGTAGCTTCTCAAAATGTTCTGGTGGTACATAAACATGACAGGTTGTGCAGGCTAGGGAAGCTTCACATGCACCTAAAAGTGTATGTACATATGAGTACAAAAATGTGTATGTAAAGAATTATCTAAAAATATGTATTCATCAAAGTTATGACAGTTTGATTTAAAAGTAGGCTCTATGTAAGCTTAATCTGACCAAAAACAGGAGTTTCAGTGTGGAGAAATAATTTTGATCAGCTTTATTACTTTTTAAGATAACCAAAAAACTTTATAGTGCTGGTTTCCTGATTAATCTTATGAACTAAGTGGAACTGTTATTCTTAGGTAACATGTCCGTGATCAAAACCAGACTACCAGCAGATGATGACAATGAATTTTATTACTATTTGTCCTACCTTTTATATAAATATTTAAATGAATTTCTCAAGATGTGCGATTCTATGTTTAAAGTTAAACTTAAAAGTTACTTTATTACCTTCCATAGGGATTTCATATCTGTGAGCGAGATACAACACATTATCACCAACTTTTCCCCTCACTTTAATTTTATTGCCATCCTTATCTATGTATACAACATTTACACTGAAACAAATATTTTCATATTATGTTTACAATATTTAAAGTTAAAAAAGTTAATTGTAGTAGGTACAGATAATTATTGTGTTTTATGACATCAATCTTTAACCCGCGATGAGCTAATTATAACTTTGTAGTTATCTACGAGAATTTAGCGCTGTTTGAACGGCATTAAAAATTAATTTACATGACTTACACTTCAGCTTCTGATTTTGGATCTTGCCATTCGTACTCTCCGTGTCTCAGACCTGAAAATTTACATATTTATAATTATTTAAATAATTATTTGTTTTTTTTAAGGTTAAAATAAGAAATGTACACACTTGCAGTCACGTGAATTCTTCTAAATTGTGAGGAATAAATCGCCTTTAAGGGCTTTAGTCTCTGCGTGGACAGACACCGTTTTATTACAGTCTGTAACATTATGTTCTTAATTAACCATAACATACAAAAATATACAAGAACTACAGTCCGCTTGGAAAAGTAAAAAATATTGCCGTAAGTTTGACGTCAACTTGACGTTCATATGATTTACCTTGACGTTAGTTAGCTTGACATATTATCCAGTGTAGCAATTTCAAAATTCAAACTGTTCTGGCCATCATAATATTAACAAAGTACAGAAAATCAAATGTGTTTGTGATGAAGGAGAAATAATAAGTTATATACCCTGTAAGAATGCACTGTAAAATGTCTTGAATCATTGAATTAAGACATCATTTTCACAGTTTATTAATTAATACATCATATTTAATAGAAAATTTTATTGGGCTAGTATTATTAAAAATTCTAAAAAGTACCATTCTGCACCGAAAACTTAGAAACTATTTCTTACTTATTTCAAACTAATAATGTAACTGAAATGTTAGTCTTCACTTTAACATTTCAGTTACGAGTTCGCGACTGAGATAGGAAAATTTGTAGTGGTTCAAATTAATCTACGTACAAAATAAGGTAGGGTGCTAAACATTTAGTAAAAAGAAAATATTTTTTATTAAAGTTTTCTGGTTAAGTCGACCTAGATATTTTATGGGGTTGTAGTATTATATTAAAGGTACGACAATTTTAACGTATAATCGTCCATTATTTTTTATGTAATAAATAAATTTATATACTTTAATGTAATACTTTGAAACATAAAAACATGGTATTCAATTAAGAATTTATCTCTCTCTGACATTTCTAAGAACTAAAAACTAGGAGTAGGTACACATTAGAGACGTCAGCGGCGATAGCCGACGGGGCCACAGGCTGCCAGAGAGTGAGGACCTGTGGTGGCAGATTAACTGCTGCGGTAGGCGATAGGACGGCGGCCTAGTCGCAAAAATGCAATCGGGCCGCAACTTCTTAGAAGGATTGGGCCTGGATAGAGTTCCTAGGCGCGGCATCGATCAGGAAGGACCTGAAATAACATGGTCTCGGTCCTCCTCTTAGTAGGGTTCCTGAGTCTGGCCGTCAGGGTGGTTTTTAGTGGAAACATGGAGTATGTTTCCACTAAAAACCACCACATTTTTTACATACCTACATACTTGGGACAAAATAGATCTTCGCTAGATACCCTACTTTTTGAGATATAAACGTGGCTCAGCTGGGGAGATAATCCAAAGCAGGGCCACCTATAAACGCTTATAACATTTGAATCAGTGACTGACATGTTCAGATATTTGGCAACTGATTTCGACAAATTAGCGATTAAATTTGGGAGAAAACAGATCTTCGTTAGGTGCCCTAGTTTTTGACATACAAGAGTGGCTCTGCTGGGGAGACTGACCCCAGCAGGGCCCCATTTAAAGGCTTATAACTTTTGTACCAGTGACCGAAAACTTCTGCGACAAATTAGCAACTATTTTTTTTATCAAAATTTAAATCCATGATGGTGGCCAAGCCAGTATTAGTAGCACTACGGTAAATGATTAAAATTACGTGCACAGTGGGGACAAGTTAGAACACTCTTAGGTAATTGTAATTTATGTTATCATACAGAAAAAAACGCGTTTCAAGCAATTTTCGTCATTAATGGCCTACATTACCCTAAAACGTGTTTTAAGGGTCCGTAAATTACACAGACGAATTTTAAAACGAAACTAAATATTGTGGAAGTTCATAAGGGCGAAAATCGATTACACCTTATTTATATGTGATGACCAGACATCGGATTTCATGCACTATCAAAATTCCAAAATATGCATGAAAATATGCACTAAAAAAGGGCGAAATATGCACAAAATATGCACAATCAAAAAACCAATTATTACTAGAATTTAAGTTTATTTTCACATTATATTTATTTATTAAACATATATCGACGTCCAGCCGTGGACAGCGATAGGCTGATGATGATGCGCCATAAATTACCCAGGAGGTCGGAGAGGAATGTTGAGTGTTGTGTAATCCCCCCGGGGGATCGAAGTGGAATAGTGAGTGTCGTACTAAACCCCTGGTAGATTAAGCAATGCGTTTCCAAGTGGAAAGAGCGGATTTTTCCTATTCTAAACGCCGCAATGGAAAAAAAATGTAAAACGTAAAAAAAATTGCATGACAGCAAGTATGACAACACTGATTACTATGTCAAATATTCACGAAATACGTCAATAATCGCTAAAAAGGCCATTTTGGCCATTTTTATGATGATTTATATTAATAAACTATCGATTTTTAGCGTATAGGTGTTGGTTAGCTATGTGTAGTGAATAAATGTAGTTACTTATAAAGCTTACGTTAGATAAACGCTAGTGTTATTTTACTGTCAGAGTCATGAAGTTATAAGTTTGATGATAGAAGTTGTGTTAAAGATAAAACAGGTAAGTTTTTATGACTCAATGACGTGTAAATAGTTATATGTAGTGGTATTTATTTAATGCGAGTCTTGTAATTATTATTGAATGTAAAAGAAAAATCTGTAACTAAGTTCATTCTATCATAATCTTATGTCAATTCCTAATAAAAAGTACAGTTTTGTCTGATGACTTTTCTTAAATTATTTATTCTATTGTCGCTAGTTTGGCCTTGAGTATGTATGTTAGATTCACATATTATATTAAAATGTAGTTTTATGTTTTGTGCTATAATATGTTTTGTTTAAGAAAATTCATGTCAGATTCTTGTCGGATAAAGGCTCTTATCTCTCTGTGTTATGAGAACATGATCTATTGAACTGATGTAATCTGTTTAAGTCCATAACATAGGACATCTATTCTTTGAGTTCTTATTGTTATTTGCCACATTTCAATAATTTCAGTGTCATAGCATGAAAAAAGTTTTGTTATTCAGACCATTTTATAAAAAGTTTTAGAACATTTTTAAATTTGTTATGATGTACCCTTAGACCCTTTTTAAAATTTCAGTATATCTAACAATATATACTTCTATGCTGTAAAAGACATACCAGAAAAAAATTAAACAGTTTAAGTTAAAATTTCTTATTGATAATAATTATTTAAATTTTAAAGAGTTTAAGTATGTGAAATGATATTTTCTAAAGTGTGGAGTGAAGGAAATCAAAGGAGACACATTTTGTCTGCCATTCAATGATTCTGTTATGAAATATCTCTATCATCAAAGTTAAGAAACTTTTGCCGACATTTTTAAGCTCTGGTACTTTCAGAATGATATGAACATAGGGGAAAGAGAAGAGAATCCGAAATAGGTTACGAAATGTGATGTCACAAAACTTGTACCCTCCCACTCTTTGTCACATGTCACACTTCGCCGACATTCTCCCTTAATGTTTGAAGTAAATTATGGATGGCCCATTATTTTTGATACCTTCAAAGACCTCAAAGATGAATAACATACTTATGATTTAAATTGCAGATGTCCATCTGCTGCAGCAGTCACAATCTGTCAGGGTGACCTGCCTACTTGTTTGCCTCTTTTTTTGTAAAAACAATTTTTTTTAAATAAAGACAGCTCCCCTATGACTTGTGTCGCGGAAGAGTTTACAAACATACATGAAACTGACAAAAAAACACCCAGAATCAGAACAACAATTTGTGAATCACACATGTGTCATCCCATGTGGGGATCGAACCCACAACATTCAGCACTACTGCGCGCGGTGTGGCAACCGCTTGCACAGTCCTTAAAAGATTGCATAAAGAAACAATTTTTGTTCCAGATATTTTATAGCGACCATGGCAGATAATGAAATTAAAGTAGAAGTTAAAGTTGAAAGAAAAGATCCTACCTCATTTTTGCCTGAAGAGCCGATGTCATATGAAATTAAAAAGAAAAAGAAGAAAAAGAAAAAAAAAGATATTGAGGATCCATTCAAAGATATAGATGATAAAATGAATATGAAACCTATAATAGCAGAAACGATACCACCAGCTTTTGACCCAGAAGTTAATATTAAAGTTGAAAAAATTGAAGTTGAATTAGATTTTCATGATGTAAGTATTTGTTTTACCTCTTTAAATGTTAACTGAGATTGTACTATTTACTAAAAGGCTAGCAACACTTTAAAAAAAAAAACTTTACACATCTCACACCTGGCAGTCTGATCCCAAACTAGACAGTCTGTACTATCTTAACTAGACTGCTGTTAAACATACTTATATAGTTTTCAAATCCATACATATTATAGATAAATTACATCCAGACACAGAACAAAAGACTGTGCTCAATCACACAATATTTCTTCTGAGTGGGAATCGAACCCACAACCTCCATCTTAGCAGTCAGGGTCAATAACTACTAGACCAACAGGACCGTCAATGGCGCTTGGGACTCCTGAATTGCAGGCGGTAGTCACTTTCCATCAGGTGACTCATCTGTTCGTTTGTCGCCCCCCATTAATAAATAAAAAACTTAAACCTTTATATATTTCAAGCTTTTGCCCGCGGCTCCCGCCCGCGTTCATATCGATTATCTCGGTATGTTACAGATTATGGAAAGCTACATTATCAGCTGCGTTCAGCTACATTATCAGGTTTAGGCGTGAAAGCGTAACAAACAAAGTATTTTTTCTTATATTTATAATACAAGTATGGAAGTATGCATTTACTAGTGGAAACAAGAGAAACAGTATAATTTGCACATACTAGATATACTCATCATCAACAACAGCCTTTAATAGTCAACTGCCGGACATAGGCCTCTTCTTAGAAAGGAGGTTTTGGCCTACTATACCATACTGGCCAGACGGGTTAGTATAGGGTTTGTGTCAAGTTTTCCTTTTCCTGAATAGGGGTGGTTACACACTGTACTCTTAATCTGTCATATGATATACTACAATATTGTAATAGAACTCACGACACTCTGCTGCACATTCAAAATGTTATTTTATTGCTTTATATGTTAACTTAAAATCTTTAATAAGATTATAATGTGAAAGTAGGTTTATTTGTTACACTTTCATGCCTTAAACTACTTAACTGATCATCATGTAATTTGCATATTTTTTGTTAACAAGGGGTATAGTTAAAAGTAAAGAGGGTATTTTTATCTTGGAGAAAGTAACATTCCCGAGGGTTAGAAAGTTATTTTCATAAAAACTTCACATAAAAAAAACCCCCCTCTTACATAAAAAAAAATACATAATGTATACAAGCCATTCTCAAAAAAAAACAACGGCGGGTTGCACTACGGGAGTGCCGGCAGAAGTGAAAACTTGAATATTAACCTTGTGCATTTCTGATATTTTGGAATGGTTAGGGAATAATTTTGCACGAATTGCTTTAATTATCAGTATAAAAGTACTATCATTTATGTGGTAGAATACAATATTTACTTATTGCGCTATCGTACACAAACATGACAATTTATATTACATTAAAAAGTTTTATCTCTCAGAAAAACGAACATTCGCGCAAGCGCCCTGCGCCGCCTAAACGAAACAGCAGGCGTAGGCATACATTTTCGCCGTGCCGTAAAAAGAGAGGGGCTACTTCCTCTCCTACGCCGCGCCGGCTGTCTACTCTCCATCCGTCTTACGAATTTTCGATCAGGTCACGTGTCTTGGTACCGCAGACGACTCAGGCTCGGAGGTCGCAGAATGACCTCCGTCCTCCATAAGCGCAGGCCTGGGGGTGGTAGGTAAGGTTGTCTATCACCCTAGCAGAAGCAGGCCGGCGTGGTGGCGAGACGCGCTGCGGAGCGCGTGCGCCCTTTCGGGAGCCCAAAGGGGACATAGGGGTTCCCACACTGGAGGGTGTCATCTACCCGCTGCAGATGGGCCGAGGTATGTCGGATTACCAGGGCATTCCTCCCATTGGTGCACCTGGTTCCCCGGCTACTGGTACCCGAGACAGCGTGCGGTTTTTAGTCGGTTCGAGGCCGACATAGCCACCGGTGGGTGGTATCCGAGGGGATTTCCGCACAGAAAGAAAAGGGTAACGTTAAAACCGTGTCGCTAATTCCTGGGTACTTTGACTCGGATCGGCTTCTACCATCTCCTTCAATTCAGCGTTATTCTCCTGTGTGGGCGGTCTTCCACGTGGTTTGTTCTTCAAGTCGAAGTTTCCATCCCGAAAGCGTTTAAACCAAAAACGCGCGGTGAGTTCTTTAGCAGTCTCTGCTCCAAACGCAGCGCTGATATTACGAGCCGTTTCTGCCGCGTTAGTTCCGTGTCGGAACTCGTATTAAAAAATGGCTCGGATTTAAAAAGTATCTGTCTTTCACTTCTAAGCTGAATAAAAAAAAACGATTGAATCATCTCACAGGTAGATTGTAAAAGTTTCACAGGAAAATATCACACCATGAAGGTTTATATCAATTCAAAGTATCTATTACTATACAACGGCAATTTCATACTTTAACCCCTTTTTTTTCCGTGCGGTAATCCCCTCGGATACCACCTATCGGTGGCATGTCGGACTCGAACCGACTAAAACCGCACGCCGTCTCGGGTACTAATAGCCGGGGAACCAGGTATACCCTAGAAAGGAAGTCCCTGGTGCCCCGACATACCTCGGGCCATCTATACACGGTGATTTTGAAAGCGTTTTGGAAAAGAAAATTTTGAATTATTTATCAGTAACAGAAGCTATATATAACGTTAATTTAATAAAATATATATTTTTTTTATCATCAAAGTCGATATTCATATCGTTTACAGAGAAAAAGTGAGAACCAGTAGTAGTAGGCTATTCAATCACACGTAGGTAAATACTACGAATAGACATACTATGCCTTTTAATATCGAGTCACATAAAGGTCGCGCGCTCACGCGCAAGGTCAAGGACGTTTAAATTATTATTCGCCGGAGTGTAGTGCGTTTATACCTAGACAATGAGTTTAGTGATCGGTGGATAGGTCGAGGAGGGCCAGTACCTTGGCCACCTAGAAGCCCGGACTTAACGCCCCTGGATTTTTTCTTATGGTCGGAATTAAAAAGACATGTTTATACACGGGAATATGAAAGCCGTGATAATTTACGCATTGCGATAGTGGACGCTTTTAATAAAGTGAAAAGTGATAGAGACACATTGAGAAAATTAAAAAACAATTGCATTAAACGTGGACGTTTGTGTATTGAATGCAGCGGAGTCCATTTTGAGCAGTTGCTTCGATACAGAGAAGTGTAAATAGTGTAAATAGGTATGTATGTTAATTATTCTGTAGATAGCTCCGAATTTTTAAATACGCTTGAAATATTTATACCTACAGTCCGTTGATAAATTGATTTGTTGTGAAAAGAACAATCGTGGCTAATAATCGAAAAGAAGTTTAAATAAAATAGGTATTTCCGACGGTCCTAAGCCCGTGTAAAGTATGAAGGACAAATTGGAGTCTATCTACGTAAGTACTCGCTAGCTCGCGCCTATAGGTATACTTTTATCAGCTGCTGTTAGCGTCTGCGGTGCGCAGCGGCCGCCGAAACACCCACGGACGTGTTTCATTCATATAAGATAATGAATGAATGATCAGTCCATTACTACTTTCCAAGTCGATCGAGTAAAAATGAATATTAAAACAGAAACTTTTTTTTAGACAACATTACAATTGATTTAATCATTTTTATAGGTACTATAGATGATTCCAAATTAAAATATTTCGTTTCCAAAACGCCTATAAAATCACCGTGTAGACTAGTAGACGACCCCCCCCGTGTGGGAACCCCATGTTCCCTCTGCTCCCTGGAAGCGAGCGCGCTTCGCAACGCGCTCGCCGCCACCCCGGCCTGCTTCTGCTAGGGTGACAGATGGCCTCACCTGTCATCCCCAGGCCTGCGCTTATGGAGGACGGAGGTCGTTCTGAGACCTCCGGCGCCTGAGTCGCCTGCGGTACCTAGCCCGTTCCCGGGCCTGGCGGGCCGGGAGAGTTCTAAACCTCTCCCGGTCCCGCTCCGCCGTCTCCTTCGCGAGCATGACTTGCTCGCAGAAGGAGACGGCAGAGTTCCACGCACTCTCGCTCCGCACGATAGCCGCAATCAGGCTATCGAGCGAGAGAACTCCCACTCCGATGGCCGCCACGAGGTCTCGCCTCTGCTCAACCCAGGCCGGTACTCTGTCAGCGTGTGGAGAGCCGTGTCCACGGTCTGGCCATCGCAGTGGTGGCACTCAGGCGTTGGCTCCTTGCGGATCAGACACAGGTGATCCCCGAAACATCCTTTCCCAGTGATCACCTGCGTCAGTCGGTATGAAAGAGTCCCGTGACACCTCTCGAGCCAATCCTCCATAACGGGCATACTTTAACCCCTATTATTAGCTCTAAAAATGTTGATGTAAGGAATGGAATGTAATGATGTGAAATTATAAGTATAATATTTCTTTTTCAGTTTACTGATAATACAGGCCTTATGTTAGAAGGGCCGGAAAGTGAGGACAGCCAGGAGCCAGCTGTAAAAATTGAGAATCAAAACCATGAAGCTGTCTTGCTTACTTTTGAAAGTGTTATCAATCCGAAAAGAATGTTGCCTAAAAAGGAAGAGCTAGATATCGTACCTAAAGCAGAACACTTTTGCAAGATATGTCATCTGGTCTTCCAATCAACAAAAACACTAAGAATGCACCAGAAAAGAAAACACAAAGTGTTTAGAAAGTCATTCAAACATATTTGCGATAACTGCGGTATGTCCTATGAAACAAAAAACAGTTTAGTTGCACACATTAAACGTAAACATGGGCCAGATTCATTGCCTGATGATAAAGAAGAAAGAACTTGTGAGATATGTGCATTAGTGTTTAAAGGCATGGCCAGGTTACGTATGCACATGAGACGGAAGCATGGATCTTTCCAGGACTCCTTCCAACATGTATGTCAGGACTGTGGTCTGACTTATGATAAATATAGAAGTTTAATAGTTCATATACAACGTAAGCATTCAAATCAAACGACGCCAGAGATAAGTCAGTGGTACAATTGTATGTTTTGTCAGAAGATGTTCAATAAAAGAGAAACGTATGCAAGACATGTACAAAGGAAACATAGAATTGCTGACGATAATATAAAGCAAGAGAATCTTGGTGAAAACTTAGAAGGCGATCTCGAAAGTTGTAAAAATGAGCAAACAGGAGAAATCACTTGCAAGGAATGCCCTCTAGTGTTTTCTTCAATGAATTTCCTAAAACTACATATGCGAAGAAAACATAATGCTTTGAAAGAAAACTTCAGATTGAAATGTAGGATCTGTAACCTATCTTATGATAAGATTGAAAGTCTTAAACGACACGTGAGACGGAAACATGATAAAGGCTCACATTGCGAAGTGTGCAATAAACAATTTGATTCCAGAGAAATGTATTTAAATCACTCCCACACAAAAATTATCAAAGAGTGCACAATTTGTGGACTCATCTTTGCTTCTCAAGGGGGTTTAGCAAAACATTTAAGGTGTACACACAAAATAGACACACCAAAAACAGTCTTTTGTAACTTATGCAATGAAGGGTTTCATGACAAACGGCAGTTGAAACCACATCTCATGAAAGTGCATTTAAAAGTTTCTTATACATGTATGCACTGCAAAAAAGTTTTTAAAGCAAAGGAGAGTTATCGACGACATATCCTGTTCAAACACCCTACTCCGAACTATGTTAACACACAGCTGCAGAAATGTGAGCAATGTTCTGAAATGTTTAAGGATGAATTTGAACTTTGCAAACATATAAACATAGCCCACAGACATACAGATGAGAGTATGACAGAAGATGGCATGCATATAAAAAGGGAAGATGAAGATATCAAGAACAATTTCCAGTGCACCAAGTGTCCTGAGATATATTTAACTTGGGATGAATTAAAACTGCACTATGAACAATGTCACCACAATATTCAACAAACTCAATGTCAAATTTGTGGAGAAATAATGCAAGGCAATGAACTGGAAAAGCATATAAAAGCATTACATACAAATAATGAGAAGCAGTGTAAATACTGTGAATTTAAAACAAATATTAAAATAAGTTTAACACAGCACATGCTGAGACACAAGAATGCAGCAACGATACGTTGCGAGTACCCAGGTTGTCGGTATAAGACGTTTTATGAAGGTGCTATGGAGAAGCATAGACGAAAGCATCTTGATCAGGGAGTCAAACTCCAATGTGCGCAATGTCCTTTCCAAACTATGAATAAATATATTTTAAAATATCATGAGGAAGCACATGAAACTGGTAAAAAGAGGTATTCATGTGACCAGTGTGATTATGCTACAATTCTGCCGGCAAATTTAGTGCAACATAAGTATAAACATTCTACAGAGAAGCGGTTCAAATGCGACGTGTGCTCCTTTGCAACTAAGTACAATACGTCATTAAGGTTTCATGTTAGGAAAAAGCACTGTGATCTCCCAACATTCAGCTAAAGGTTTATTTTTTATTAAAGTACATAATTTGGTGTTATGCATTGTCTCTTTTTTTATTTATTTTTTTAACCTGTAGCTCAAAAAAAATCTACAACTTAAGTATATAGTATATGACCTTGCAAAAGTTTTTTTAAAAATAATAATTCGGACATCTGACACGTCATCTAGTTGTAAACAGAGCTTGTACTATAAAAGCTAGATTGACTGATTGAATACTTATATACTTTTTTTCGCAAATACATACGTAAAAAAATACCCATACTCCCAAATAAATATTTAAATCACACAAACATTTAGTTCAATCGAACTACAGACCTCAACACGACAGACGCATACGCAACCACAGTCAAAGTAGTAGAATTTATTTTGGAAATCACAAAAGTATCGAACGAGGTTATATTTATTACACACATATAGTTTTGGGAAAAACAAAATCATGCAATCCTAATATACTGAGGATCAAAACCTGTTTATAGTTAGGCAATAGTTATAGTTTACTCCTACATCCATCCGTATTAACAATGCACTTATTGTCACTCTTGAGTTGTGGTGGTCAATTACCATCCGGTTACCTGGCTGCTCATTTGCCCCGATACCATTAAAACACTTAAAAAAAAATATTTCCTTAAATCCCAATTGGGAAAGTTCGTGGTTCGTTCTCCTTCTATTACCTACTGGAACCAAATGATAATTACGCCTACACCTTTTAACAATTATGTCTACAAAACTCACAAAAATAAGCTTTGCGTAACAATTTTCACCGAATTCAGAAAAGAGATATTTAGAGACAAATAATGTAACAAAGAAGTTTTAATATCCATGCTATTTTTTTTGCATAATCCGCACCAAAATAATTCAACCATTTGGTGTATTATTCTCCTAAATCTGGCAACTTTAACATCTGGTAAACTCCCACTTTTTGTAAAGCAAAAACATACTTCAACATCATCTATTGCACACAAACTTATCTACTAATCACACTATCAACAAAAATTATCCTCTAAGAAAATCAATGAATGAAAAGACAGACTGGCAGACACAGAATTAGTTTGGTCTGTGCAAGTTATTTTTGGATAATATCTAGAGATGGCGTTAGTATTTTGTGTTGGGCGCTGTCAAGTGTCAAGGGATTTTGGGATACTGTTTGACTGAAGCAAATGTCAAATTTGGTTCCTTTATTTTTTTTCCTTGTCTCTCATTCAATGTACGTGTTTGTTTGAAAGCGATGAATGTGCTGCGATATGACGGAATCTAGAGAAACATCGCGAATACTAACCAATTTGTTTTAATTTCAATGTGTAAACATTATAGATAATAATATACTATATTTAACGCGTGCTTCTGGTAATGACTAGTGTTTCGTTTGCAGCAACAATGGATTTATTGGAACTTCCCATTGTTATAATTGAAACCATTTTCTCATATTTGTCTTACGATGATATTGCGAAGAGTAGACTGGTAAGTGACTCTTTTTGGATATTATTAGAAGAGATGAGCTCATTAATTACCAACATAACATGCCTATGGTTTTATTAGTGAAATTTATTTTGTATAAGTCACGTAATAGCAATGTTCTAGGTGTTGTAGTTCTGCATAACCACATTTTGTATTTATATTTTGCTATTTATAACTGGTTGTTAAAAAACCCAACTTGCTTATGTTTTCCACACCCTCCGACCATAACGGAGACTTGATAATTCGATCCTTTAGAAAATAAATGTTGTATTGTAAAAAAGGTGAGGTATTTTTCATTTTAAATATAACTTTTAGACAATAAGACTAAGGAATACTGCGTGAAACTTTTAGAGTATTAGATTGAGTGAGAGTCAGCAAAAAGGGAAGGTCAAGGAACAAGGTGATGTTTTTCTCTTTCCTGCATGGTAAGCTGAGGGTGACAATAAAAAGAGTGTAATGTGTAAATAATAATAATAAATTAATTTTTAAAAGAGAGACTCCCGTATTTAGAGGTCTATGAACTTAAATTTGCATATTTTTACATTTTACAATATATAGCACCTTAAAAATTATAGACTGCTATTGTTGAAATCTGAGCTGACATATTTTTAGTATGAATGCTTTAACAACGGTACAGGAAACTTGTTAGGAATGTCAGGACAAAAGCAAACAGTGGTCTTTCTTCAGCCACTGCAAAGGGACAGAGGTGTAAGCTTACGTTTTAATGCTATGTGAAGTCGAACTCCCACGTAATGTTATAGGAGACACATCACAGGCAATTGTGTGCTAAACAAACAGCTTGTTGCGTTCCTAGTAATTGTTGTTAATGATTTTAATAAGGCTTTATTTTAGTATCTTATGTGGAGTGTAAAATTACAAGGTTCTTCACAATAAGAGTTGTGTAAAGAAAGTTTTACGGCACTAGAACTCTAAGCAGAAAATAACACTATCAAGTATTATATTACCGTTGAATTGCCTAACGAGTTGACCAGTTTGAACTGGTCATAGGCTGACTTTCTGTACCTATTTGTTCCAAGACAATTTAACTTTTCTTGTGACTTCTGTTGATCCTGGTGTATAGGAGTTACAGTAATGGGTGGTGGAAGGTGTTAATCCCTTCCCTATCTATACTAATATTATAAAGCTGAAAAGTTTGTTTGTTTGTTTGTTTGAACGCGCTAATCTCAGGAACTACTGGTTCGATTTGAAAAATTCTTTCAGTGTTAGATAGCCCATTTATCGAGGAAGGCTATAGGCTATATATCATCACGCTAAGACCAATAGGAGCCGAGCACCAATGAAGAATGTTTAAAAAACGGAGAAAATTTATTACTATTGAGAGACGCAGACGAAGTTGCGCGGGTCAGCTAGTTAAATATATAATTCATGAAATGGAGTGACTTGCTGCCCCCCCCGCCCCCCCTCTTTTACGGTCTTGCAGAAGAGGGTGGAGGCAGCTTTCTTGAATGTACTAGTGACTCTTGAGCTGCAGGTATCAATGGGCAGCGCTAGCCACTTTCAGATGACAAGTCTGCTTGTGGCCCCATAGCCCTAAAAACAATATCCTGATGACAATGAGTTGAAGGTAGTCCGCAGTATACGCTGCTTACAACAGTACCTACTTGTAGTTTCTCTGTATGATTATCTGTAATATTGCCTTTTTACTATCTGATGACTCACACTTTTTAAAATAGCAGAGGTCAGGTGACGCGTTGTTACTATCATGACATTTTACATAAATGATTCTAGAACTAGTTTAAATAATATACTTGTGACGTTTTGCCTTAATGAGATCAGTCTTCTCAAGGTTAAATTGTCATTGAATAATCAAGTAAAATCGGAACTCGTGTAGTACATGCAATATCATACTAATAAAATCAGTTGATAATTGTTTATATATACTCGTAGATATGTACTGTTCGTGTTGGCAGCTGATGACTTCCTCATAATTATGTAAATAAACATCTATCGAGAACATTTACGACGGGCCTGTTGGTCTAGTGGTTAGTGACCCTAACTTCTAACTTGGGTTCGATTTCCACCCAGGACAAATATTGTGTAATGAGTACGTTTATTTCCTAATACTTCTGCAAAAATGACATAAAAATCGCCGTGGGAGAGCCATCCTTCCGCGCCACCACGGATCAACCGGAGTGATACCTGAAGCCCATACTCGTAATAAAAGTTCCCATCAACTTTCGATGTCACAACTGTCATAAAGGTATTTTCGCAGTAAAATACTATTACTACGACTAGCAGATTACCGATTAAATTTTTGTTACAATAAGATATAATCACATTACAATGAAGGTTATATGTATGATGCTTTACTACGAAAATACCTTTCATGACAGTTGTGAGATCAAAAGTTGATCTGAGCTGAATTGAGACAGACCGGCTTCACAGAAAACCGGTGTTGAGCAATCCTTTCGTTTCTTTCCATCGAGTGATTGACGTCACTGAAGGCCTAACCCTTCCTCCCCTAATTTTGGTGGGGTGGGGGTGGTTGCTGTGTGGTGACGGATTAAGAATACAGAGTATTACCACCCCAATTCATCCAGTGGGTGTCGTAAGAGCCGACTAAGGGAGCAAACTACGCAGATCAACAGCACTGCGTAGAGAAGAAAACTTGAAACTAATCCTATACCAACCCGTCTGACCAGCGTGGTATAGTAAGCCAAAACCTTCTTTCTAAGAAGGGGCCTATGTCCAGCAGTGGACTGCTGATGGCTGTTGATGTGATGTGAGGGGGATGTCTTGTAAAGAGCGACAATGCACTTGTCTCTAAGTTGCAGGTAGACATGAGCAGAAGTAGTCGCTTACACACTATCAGGTGACCCATTGTTTGTTCCCTAATCCATAAAAAAGCACTCCGCATACTTTATGGTACACAATCACCAAGACCTATAGTCTCGACGAATTCCAACTACCGGAGCAAGCTGGGTTTCGGAGCGGATATGGCACCATAGACCACATCCACACAGTGCGGCAGATTATACTGAAGACCGAAGAATATAATCAGCCCCTGTGTCTAGCATTCGTGGACTATGAGAAAGCCTTTGACTCGATCGAGATCTGGTCTGTTCTGGAGTACCTGCAGCGTTGCCAAGTAGATTGGCGATACATCCAAGTGATGAGATGTCTCTACGAAGCCGCCACCATGTCCGTCCAAGTACAGAATCAGCAAACAAGGCCCGTACCATTGCATCGAGGAGTGAGACAAGGGGACGTTATTTCCCCGAAATTGTTCACAAATGCAATGGAGGACATGTTCAAGACGCTGCACTGGAAAGGGCGTGGCATCAATATCAATGGCGAATACATCTCTCACTTGCGATTTGCAGATGACATCGTCATCATGGCAGAGACGTTGCAGGACCTACAGCAAATGCTGAATGACTTAGCTGATACTTCTGTACGCATCGGCCTACGGATGAACTTGGATAAAACCAAGGTCATGTTCAACGAACATGTACTACCGGAACCGATTGCGGTACACGGTGCCGTTCTCGAAGTTGTTCAAAATTGTTCAAAAGTGGCAGTGGACTGGCCATATTAGCCGCAGAACCGATAACCGTTGGGGAAAACGAGTTCTTGAGTGGAGACCGCGTCTCGGCAAACGTAGTGTAGGACGCCCACAGGCCAGGTGGAGTGACGATTTGCACAAGATGGCTGGCAGGAGCTGGATGCGAGAAGCCCAAAATCGATCTAAGTGGCGTGCAATGGGAGAGGCCTATGTCCAGCAGTGGACTGCGATAGGCTGATGATGAAGACCTATAGTCGCTGTCAGAGTTTATCATCATCAACAGCCTGTAAACCGTCCACCGCTGAACATTGGTCTCCTTAGAAAGGAGGTTTTGGCCTACTACTCGTATACCGCAATTGTGTTAAGTTTTCTTTACTTTTGTAGTGCTGTTGTGCTGCATAGTTTGCTCCCTTGGTCGGCCCTTACGACACCCATGGAATCAATATATCAATAGGGGAGTTTATACACGGTCAGAGTTTATAAAATATATAAATGTAGGATTTCTTTTCCAGGTGTCCCGAACATTCAACGACATTTGCATGCGTATCCTTAATCGCGGCTTCGTGATGATCGAGCGGAGACACGCAACGGCACTTAAGAATGTAAAGGCCCAGCTTCCAAGGAGAGAGTCAGAACGCAGGTATAAATATTTATTAAAGATGTACGGTTTTTTGCACTTATTAAATTGAGGTTTTTAAACTACCCTGCGCGTCCATGTCAGTATTCTATTGCTTATCATCAACAACCTAGTCGGCCTAGTCAACTGGCTGGACAAATTACTCTCCCTAGAAAGGAGGTTCTGGCCTAATATACCTCGCTGCCGCTGGCCAGACGGGTTCGTATAAGGTTTGTTTCAAGTTTCTCTTCGTTGTTGTCCTGCGTAGTTTGTTCCCTTACTCGGCTTTTACGACACCCACGGGATGATACGGGTGTTGAAACTCCGTATTCTTAATCCGGCAACACACGGATTATCAATCACCGTGATTACTGAACATCTAATGTAAAGCTTTAAGAGCAAAGTCATTGAGAAACTGAGCAGACACAAAACACTGAACAATGCTATTCATCCCTTGTAAAATGTTCAATGCTAAATTTCATGTTTGCTAAAAAAATAACGTCAGAAAGTCGACTAACCTTCACTATTACGCTGCATTTATAAAACAATTGGTAAAAAACCTTATTTAAGCCGAATTAATATCCATTAAAATACTTAACACAGAATTCATATTTTTGGTCTTACCATGCTGTGAGCTGTTGGCTGGAGGAATAGTGATATCCATGGTCCGGATGTCTTTATATCAGCTGTTCCCGGATCGCTCCTATCTCAGGCGCGTAGTGGCACGCCGTGTGGTTTTAGTCTGTTCGATTCCCACACACCGCCCGCAAGCCCCGGTGGGGTGACGGCTCGAGGTGGTTTCCACACGTTAAAAAAAAATTATAATACATTGATATCCGTTACTTTTTTGTGGATTTTAAACGGATATTTTACGTCATTGTATTTTATTTGAATGATAATGATAGTAGTCACTACATTCATTATACTTAAAATATTAACAGTTATAAAGATTATAATTAATAATAATAATATAATATAATATTCTACCACATACACACAACGCCATCTAGTCCCAAACTAAGCAGAGCTTGTACTATGGGTACTAGACAACTGATATAAATACATATATACTTTTTTTTGGCTGGCTTAGTATCACCTATGCCCGGGCTGGGCAAAATTTTAAAGGGTTTTTCTGTGAGGAAAAATAGTCTAAGTTATTCCTTATGATATACAGCTACCTAGTACTAAAATATTATCGAATTCGGTCCTGCTTTTTAGAAGATTACCTGAAACAAACAGACAACAAGGCAAAAAAAAATGGTTTTTAGGCATAGGTATTGTGCAAATAACCGTGTGAGCTTGAAAAAAATCTAAAATGTTGACATTACAAACATACACTTCAATTTTTTTTATTTGTATAGATGTATAGATTAGTTACAAACGTCAACTGATGTTTCAAAGTTACGCATATTGGGCATAAGTGGATAACTCATGAACCAGACTGATCTAAGTCACAATTTTGTCTTTTTAAGAAAACTAGGGAAACTAGTGTTTCTTCTTGTTGTAAAAAAGGAAAGCCTCATTATTATTAAATATTTAATAAAATCATGCCTAACATATTGAATTTATAACAATGTTTCCTTCCATATATTTAATTAATAGTAACACAAAATAAAGTTTTACACAAAAATAATCACTTGGATCACCAAAACGAGCATGGCAATAGCTTTCTGACTGCCATAGTCAGAAAGCTATTCATTCTACAGTGTGAGATACACAGTTCTCCAGGAAAAAAAGTACTATTAGCACTTGGATTACTGTGTTTTAAAGAAATGTGTTTTTTTCGTGCCTTTATACAAAAACGCTAATTTGACAAAATGACACTTGGATCAGTCTGGTTCTACCATCGTCAACTGTGAAATAATTTGATATAATGTTACCTTAACCGACGAAGTAAACTTACCCGGATTTAAACTAATAAACTAAAATATCCGCGGACATACATTTTTACGATCTGCCGATCACTACCGTAGTGAGAGCGAAATGACGAGTGAAACTGACATATGATTCTGTCTCCTTCTAACACCTTCTTCATTCTCTCGTTATGTACTGTGTGGCTGTAGTCAGTAGTGGAATATTCCAAACTGCTCGTGGCCTAAACACTTTGGGAGATATATTATGTCTAAATTGGTAAGTAATAGCAATTTCTTTTCGCTACCAGGTACCACCATTTATCTCGGCACTGTGACATCCTGACATCGATAGAAACACGAATATCTATGCTCAATATGACATACTCCAAGTATATTGACAATGGTCTGTGCTGCTTTATACCTGGCAAGGTTAGTAAAATTACTTAAAATTAACTACTTTTTTGCTGATTTTACTTCAAAACGATTTTTTTTGTCCGTCCATTGTCGGTGGTACAGAAAAGGCCTTTTTTTGTTGACGGGGTGGAAAATCCCTTCGGATCTCCTGCTCTTCGGGGACTCAGGAGCCAGGAGTATATGGTGATTAAACTAAAAACGACCCCGGCGGCCGACCTCTGGCGCCCTACTCTTGGAGGACCCGGACCATGTTATTTCAGGTCCTCCCCCAATTGACACCATGCCCAAGCTCTATCCCAGAAATACGACGTGGCGGCCCAATTAATGCAATCAGGCCGCCATCCTATCTCCTACCGCACTACCTACTATAGAAAAGGCCTACCGCTTTACCTCCCGGCACTATACAGTTTGAATATTGTTTTTGTGTTTGCCGCGATTGGTTTCGGGGTTGCGACCGGCCAAAGGTTGCGTATAGTGCTTTTAAATAATAATCTAAGTTTTACTATTACGAAACAGAAATATTGTGTTAAATTCTTTTATTACGGCTATTGGTAAGTAAATTTATTTTCTCTCTAAATCGGGATAGGAGGATCTGGATAGGATACCGTTTGTTTGTATTGGTTTTTATTTGCATGATGTTTGTTTTTGAACTTGTTGTTTGGTGTGTCTTTGTTTTGTTATATTGGTTGTAAGCGAGTTGTCGGATCCAGGTGGTACAAATGAATTTTTAACACCAACCGGAAAAAGATTAGCGAAATATCGCCAACGGAGTTATCGCCAAAAGATAATAAATTTAAACTCATTAATACTTCGGATTTAAGTTTGAATGTTTTGTCTCTTAGCGGTTGTAGTAACTGTGGGGAGTATATTTGTTGCAACTGAGTTTCACTGACAACCGAACATTTGGCAAAATTTGAACAGGGTCACCAATGAATTTAGGTAATAAATCGGCGATCATGGTCGTTACTCTACCAATTACCGGTATCGTATCCTTGTTAGCAATAAAACCTTGTAATAACGAAACGATATTACCGAATTTCGAACGTCAAACTCAAACTATCTTTATTTCATAAAAAAATTAAAATTGTTTGAAATCGTCTCTTATGTAGACTCTAAAGTCATAGATCAACACGCACTATAGCAACAATCTCTTTTGTCAAATAGAAAGGTATCGCAACTCTACAAACGAGTATAACATACGCGGACAAACTTAAGCTTCGGTTACCATCAAATTTATTTTTTTATTGTATAAGGGGACAAACGAGCTGACGGGTCACCTGCTCCTGCACCTGCTCCTGCACCTGATGGTAAGCAACTACGCCGCCAACTCAAAAGTCACAAGTGCGTTGCCGCCCTTGGAGTCTCTCCCGCTCGAGTCAGCAGAATATCATATAAATCGGGAATTTTCAAATATAGTCTGACGTAGTCTAATCTAAAATTGTTACTATTACAGGTTATAGACGAAATAAGGCGCGTCCTATACATTGTAGAGACAGCGACTACACCCCCGCGTGCACACGAAGTTCTACAAGAGCTGCGGGATATATCCAGCATGGCGATAGAACATTTCGATGATAAAATATCGCCAGCGTTCCGGAAAAAGCTGCAAGACGGTGTTGCTCCCCCACAGACACGATCCTCGCATGGTAAATACAGCATTCAGTTAAGTTTATGTTGGCCTGGCATGAGGATATGGAAAATGAATGTAAGGTCTTTGATTTTGGGATTAAATATAATGAACACCAAACAATTATTTGCAGCCCTAAGGTCCCTTGTCAAAAAACATCATCATCATCATCATCATCAACAGCCTTTAATAGTCCACTGCCGGATATAGGCCTCGCCTTAGAAAGGAGGTTCTGGCCTACTATATCACGCTGGCCAGACGGGTTGGTACAGGGTTTGCTTCAAGTTTTCCTTCTTTTTGCAGTGCTGGTGTCCTGCGTTGTTTGCTACATTAGTCGGCTCTTACGACACCCACGGGATGAATAGGGGTAGTGACATTCCGTATTCTTAATCCGTCACTACACGGACAGAAAAACATACTATACACAAAGAAAAAAAAACTAAACATGTGCGTCTGCACATGTTTAGATTTTTTTTCTTTTAGTAATTTTAGACCATCATTGTCTAATGATGGTCTAAAATTACTATGGTTCTAGTTGTTTTATTTTTTAGTTTGTATTCGAAGACCTGCGACAGGCTGATGATGATGATGATTCGAAGACCAAATGTAGTAAATGATTACCGAAACTCAGTATCTATAGTTCATCAAATCTAAGAAGTGCCGTGTGATAGTTATGACAGATATAAGAATTTGAATAGGGTCAAAGAAATCGATTACTACAATATCCGATTCTTAAGAGATATCGATATCATTTCTTTTATTTACTTTATTACATTTTACTTTACAGACATTAAAATTAAAATGTGGTTAAATTAAATTTTGGTGGTCTATTAGTATTTTGGGGTTATCTTTGATTAGTTTGCGAGGCATTTACTTTAACAGGAAAGATTTTTGACAGCATAAAGTGTTTTGACGTGATTTTTTATAAGTATCTTATTTTATTATATCTGGTGGTAAGTTGAACATAAGCCTTTGATTTTGATCATCATATCAGATTATCGATATTTTAGTCCAGGACGACAATAAATTCACTCAGTAAACACGGAAATAACAAATCCAAGCGAATTGTCATGTTTAATTATTGCTATTAAAATAATTAACGTTATTAAGCGTCACGGAATATCGTAGGTGTCCCGCAGGGTTTCAGTGTGGGTCCTGTTACATTCTGACACAATTGCATTTTATGTAAAGATATAATGAGTCATTGTATTATATTATTTCTTACTTACAGCGGTACTTGCTCCACTAGCGATGCGACAAGAGATGATACATCTTCGCCGACGATCCATACTTAACGCCAAGCTGTCTCTATACCTTGCCTCGCAGTATAAGAAGTTTTATAAACGGGTTAGAGAGTTCTTATTACTTTGGTAATTTTTTGACAAATTCGCTAAGAAAAAGGTTTTTTATGGTATAAGGGTCAAACTAGCCCGTGCCCTCCAAGACACAAATATTTCGGATATGCATGTGAGGACTCCTTTATCAACGGAGAAAGGCCTGTCGAATCGGCTGGACGCTAGTCTTTAGTCTGTAGCTCTGTGGCTTAGTCTCTAGTCTTGTGCTGTTTTTTAGTGTGTACAATCGGCTCCGATTTCAGCTGACATTTGATTTACCTTAAAACCATATTAATTGAGTAAATTGTGTCTATATATGTGTATGTGTGTGTGTGTGTGTGTGTCTCTGTGTGTGTGTGTGTACTTATGTATGTGTATATGTGTAAAGTGAATAAATGTATATTTGTGTATCAATGTTTTGTTGATCTTTTTAAATATTCACGTGACACAATGTAAACAACCCAAAACTTTTAAACCACCTATAATTCGTGTGAAGGTTGATGCTAAGAGATCTCCGTGAGCAATAAGACTGCCGATTGTTTCGTCTACAGAATTGTAACTTATTTTTTGTTGTGTTAAGTGTGTTCTATAAAGATATGGCGCAGGTGGTGCTCTTGGGTTCGATTCCCGTGTCGGACCAAATGTTTGTATGATCTGCAAATATTTGTTTCGGAGTTTGGGTGTTTTCTATGTATAATATGTATGTATTTACAAAAAAAGTAAATAAGTATTCTATCAGTCAATTTTGCTTTCATAGTACAAACTCTGCTTAGTTTAAAACTAGATGGCGTTGTGTGTCAGATGGCCGAAATATTATTATTATATAAATAAATAACATTTTAAATCTCAATTGTTAAAAGTATGCTGGAAATCTTCACAGATGTTGGAGTATAAGAAGGTTGCCTGGCGTCAGCAGAAGACCATCAGAGAGCTGACAAAGAAACAACGAGACCAGGACTCTGCTATTGGTAAGAAAATATAAATTTGATAATATTTTAAGTTAAGTCTAGATTTTTATTTTGATCTGGTCTGTATGTGTCTTAAGGGACTGTTATAAATATTTTTTTAAAGACAACTCTCGCAAATATCCTGTGTCGCGAGGACTTCACACATATATATATATATATACATAAATCGGGCACAAAGAAGATGCGCACAATGCGTTGTTCCATCACGGGATCGAACAAAATCGTAAAATCACAGACAAAGCATCCCGTTTTTAGCTTTATTGAATGTAATATAATAATTAGGCTTGTTTCGCTGTTTCAGCTGATTTGAAGAAACGTATTGAAGAATGTGACATAAAATACAGCGAACTTACTCACACAAATCAAGCTGTCGGTGGTAAAGTTATTGCAGGTAAATAAACACATCCGTGTAGTAACGGATAAAGAATCAACCCTCAGTCACCACCCCTATTCATCCCTTGGGTATCGTAAGAGTCGACTAAGGGAGCTAACTACGCAGGACAACAGCACTGCAAAGAGAAGGTAAACTTGACACAAACCCTATACCAACCCGTCTGGTCACCCTGGCATAGTGGGCCAAAACCTCCTTTCTAAGAAGAGGTTTATGTCCAGCAGTGGACTACTAAAGGCTGTTGATGATTGATGAAGTATACACACTTTAGTGTACACAATTTGTAGTATATCGAGGTTAACACGCACACGACTAGTTGAAGAGCCTCTTCATACATTGGCGTTTGGCCTGAGCGTTGACTGATCGTCTTGGAACCCAATTTAAAATAGTTTTTTTTTTACACTTATGTGATAAACCAAAAGTAATAATAAAAAAAGCGAGAGGGGTCTATGGACCCCTGGTCGCAACGAAGTTCCTTTCGCTTTTTGGTAGACGTTTGCTATATATATGAAATATGATTAAGATGTGAGCGTCGAAGCGCCAACTGAAGTGTCGGATAAAAGTCTTGTTACATATTTTTGCACAATGCAATAGACAATAGAGCTAAATAACTTCTCCCAAGAACCCGTGGCATTTACTTGACATAGTCCGCAAATGTGATTAAAATACGAATACGTACAACCCTCAGCAACATTAAAGGTTTTTTTTATGGTATATAGTTTGATAAGTATTAGTTAATAAGTAGCAGTAACATTTCATAGACGCGTGGTTGAATACGTGGCACATTGACGTGTCATGTCAATTCTGTCAGGAATGATAAATGTTGCCATGTTAACATGTTTATCAAACCTTGTTGTAATAATAAAATTCTACTTTACCGGTCATCTATGTATATTATCAAGTTTAGTGACAACACTAACTTGAAAGTACTTCTCTAGTAAGTCTATGGTTTTGGTTTGTACTCTCTGGAATCTCTTAAATAAAACTACGCTGTGTTAAATTTACTTTTGCCGTTTTTAATTAATCTCAACAAACCTTACTTGATTTTTAGTTTCTTTCTATTATGTTGTATGTATTTAACTTTTGTCGTATTTTTGTATGCTGTAACAATAATAATCATGTATTTCAGACCATAGTGTAATAAATAGAGTTTATTTATTGACTAGCATTCCCGATTTCGTCTGTATCTCTTAAAAGGAACAAATTTTCCCAGTTGAAGCAATATTTTTCATTGCTACTCGGTTCCTATCGGTCGTAGTGTGATGTTATATGGCCTATAACCTTCCTCGATAGATAGGCTATCCAACTCTAAAAGAATTTACGATTTGAATCAGTAGTTCCTTAGATTAGCGCGGTCAAAATAAATTCTTCAGTTTTATAGTTATTAGTACACTAATAAAAGTATATTTCGAGGCATTTTTTTTTCTTTTTAAAAGACAACTCCCGCATTAGGAAGTGTGTGAACTCCTGTGTCGCGGGGAACTTTACAAACATACATGAAACGGACACAAAGAACACCCAGACTCAGAACAACAATGTGTGGATCACACAAAGTGTCGTCCCATGTGGGGTTTGAACCCACAACACTCGGCGCAGTAGGAAGCGGCGTGGCGACCGCTTAAACCACTGCGCCATCCGTACCAGCTGCAAGTAATATCAATTATAGTGTTAACTCGATGTGTTTGTTAACAGTGAGCGGAGCCGGGGAGCCGTCCACATCAGCTCAGCCTCTTCGCCACTTCTCCAGCCAGATCAAGTTGGATCTGTCCGTACTGCCCATCGGCACGTCGAAGAGGAACAACAAATGTGAGTTTCTATTTACTATGCCGTAACATTCATATTTTTCTTAATTATTGAGTAGCACAGCCGATTGTCGATGCTGCGCCCGCGCAGCTATGTTGCTTTCAGTCTGTCATTTGACAAGTCACTATGATATTTGCAGAAAAACAAAGTATCAAATAGATATTGGTGACATTGATAAATTATATCTGAATCCAGTTAAACAAACTCAAAATATCTTTATTTCGTACTTTTTTAAAGTTTGAAATCGTCTTTTATGTAGACTCTAAAGTCGTTGATCTAAACACAAATAGCAACGATCTCTGTTTTGTCAAATAGTTAGCAAAATCAATTTAATAAAAATTATACTTATACAAAATCTATGAGTTAAAACAAGAAATTGTGGGCGGGAGATATTTTTTTATGTATAAATAACAAACGAAACTTTTTTCAAAACCAAGGTTTTACATTTCCTGTCTGTGCTGGTCAGAATCTTAAATCAGAGTATTGTCTGCCCAAAACCCTGGTCACCTTTATGAATTAGAAGACCAAAAGTCCAAAATTGTCTCAATGTCTTTTCTCAGCAGCTATAGTTACATCGTATTCAATATTATTATTTTTTCAGTGCTACCAAACATGAAACCCCGTAAGCCGCTTATAAAGCTCCCGAGTCTCTCGGAAGACGACTCAGAACCCCCGCCCAAAGTCCAAAAGGTAGAAGAAGACGCCAGGTTCTTACCTTCAACATCCACCGACAGAAGCCCCCGACAGAAAACACAATCCACCATCGCTAAAATAAGAGGTATTACAAATGAAATACGCCATCTCAGTAATCTATCAAAGAGTTTCGAGTGCAAACTCAAGCGCCCGTTAAGTGTCGTTGACCTTACAGTACCTGAAAACAAGAAACAGAAGATTGATTAGAGGATTTTGAACCTTATTCAAATGCAATACACACGCATATGTGAGAGAGTAAACGTCAAACTTATGTCTTTTCGGTTGAACGAAAAATATTATGAATTCACATAAGAACATAATCTTTAGTATTCTAAAGAAATGTTATAATTAAAGTATATGCAGCTTACTGTTAAGAAAGAGCCAATACTAATTAATAGGCGTCTATTACTTGTGTAAAGATATATTTATATTGTGATTATACGGTTTTACTAACCATTATACATTTTTTTTTATGTTTGAAATAACACGAGTTTTCTTTTTATTTATGTGCACCCCTTAAACAGAAGTTAGGAAAACGTCTCGCAAATCCAATACAATTAAATGACACCTGTTGAGCTATGGTTGACTGCACGGATGGCGTAGTGGTTTAAGCGCTGAGTGTTGTGGGTTCGATCCCCACTTAGGACGACACTTTGTGTGATCCACAAATTGTTGTTCTGATCTGTCTGTTCTGTTCTTTGTGTCCGTTTCATGTATGTTTGTAAAGTTCCCCGCGACACAGGATATATTAGTAGATATCTACAACTGTAGCCTGCCGAACTTCAAAGAAGTCGCACAGAGATGTATTACAGCAAATGATTTTTATATATAAATAACTGTTACTTACTGTTTTTTTTTACTTACAGTATCGTTTTGGGATAAATCCTGTAAAGACACTGTAATTGTTTTTAATAAATAAATAAATAAATAAATAAATATTCCTAATGCGGGAGTTGTCTTTTTAAATAATAATAATAATAATATTTGTGACAACTATCTGCTAATAAACTGTACTCGGCTAGCATAAGCTATTGTATATGAAATCAATTTGATAAACTTAATGGCAATACCATTTTTTTTTATAAAAATAAAGGCATTTATAAGAATAATCAGTAATATACTGATGCTTCAAAAACTTAGCAACAGTACGACTGCCTCGGTGGTGCAGTGGTAAAGTATGTGACTGCTGTGCTGAGGTCTCGGGTTCGATTCCGGGGTCGGCACAAATGTTTGTATCATCTGCAAATATTTGTTTCGGAGTTTCATCTAGTTGTCGTAATACAAGCTCTGCTTAGTTTGAAACTAGATGGCGTTGTGTGTCAGATGTCCGAAAATATTATTATTATTATGAGCATAAATATATGTTTTGGGCTTCTTTGAATTAAATTTCTTTATTTTTATAAATTGATACCATCACACGAGTTTATTGAAAGTTTGGTTAAAAGTGTAAATAACTTACACGGTCATCACTTATTATATGTGAATAGCTTTTGGTCAGTTATTGTCACTGTACAAAGTCACAGTTCTATAAATAATGCTTAAGGTATATAGGACATTAGTTAAGTATGACACCCGTTCCCCAGTCAGGGGCCATCTATATATTACGTGAAACATATGTCACGCTTTTTTTAGACTAATCGTCCTTGTGTCACCTCCTATCGTCACGTCAGTGTTTTGTAGTTTAACACTCAAAATTAAAGCAGTAGGTTTAAGACTACAAAACTAAATAGTAAAAAAATAAGGCTGTATAGAGTGCAGAGCAGTGTTCTGTTATTTAGTTCAGGCGGTTTACTTGCAGCCATGGTCCATCGAGCCAGAACTCGCCAAACAGAACGCAAACCAGTCTAAAGATTACCAGTTTTACTGACCATGTTTGGTATTTGAATAACGTAAGTTATAGATGGCCCCTGACCAAGAAAAGTGTTTCACCTTTCTCGCATATAAAAATATCTCATATATCATCTCCCTTTCTCTCTCTCTATTTTCATATGTTCACAGATAGATCATCAATTTACATACATAGGGGCAAATACACTGACAAGAAATCTGTCGAGATTAGTTTCTTATTAAATAAATTTACACGACGAATTTAATTTAATTTAAACTTTTTTTCTGACAATTGACCCATGGCAGTTAAAAGCACAAACGTAAAATTATGTCATTCTTTGTCTTGTCATTGATAAAATTCCAACTTTGAATAATAAACACACTATGCAACTGAAAAAGATATTTGATTATATAAAACAAATCGACCAATCAATCGACGACATCTTGTTGACTAAGTTTTGTTGTGTACGAGTTTGCGCTTTTGTTTGATTAAATACCTTCTGCTTATTGTAAAAGTGTTGAAAATCGCACATTGCACAAGAAAAAAAGATCTCTTTGGCCTCCTTCTAATTTTCTAAAGTAAACACAATTTTTTATTATAATTAGGTGTTAAAAGATAAATATTATTGTAGAAGGACATTAGATAAATCGTGTATTGAAAAACACCCGCCAAATTTTAAATTCTATAATTATGTGTAAGGCTTTGTTTCAATTAGTCCAATAAAAGCAATATATCGTTGTGGTTATATACGTGTTGTGCGTACATATATACGTGTTGTGCGTACATATATAAATAATGATTTAGAATAAGGTACTAACGAATTGAATTTCCCTAAATCATGTACTAAAACATACATCATTTTGTTTCTTGCCCCGTCGCACTGGTGTAATTTAGAAGAACTAAAATTCTATGTTATTTCATTTTGAAATATCTCTTACTTGAACCATGGAGATTTCGAAACCTAATTGCAAGTTACAGTACATGCAAGTTAGGAACTCATAACGCTTACAGTCAAGACATTTCAGCGCACCGAATTATGGCATTTCAGTCTCATTGTCAACTTGATTGTGGCGTCTTGTTGTTATTGATATCGTAACTATCAATGTTTTAGATGATGCGCTTGAATTTTTCTATCAGTTTTATTGAATAATTAATTTATTATGTCTAAAATAACCATTGACAGTGCTGAGATAGTGACTCTCGTGCCGTAGCGTGTAGTGACGTCATAGTGCCTAAGCAGTTAAAAATACTGTTGAACATCGACTAAAGCATGTTGCTAGTGAATAATTAAAGAAAAACTATACTCTAGTGAGTAAATTGGTTTTGTTGTACGTTGGTCGGGATCCCCATACATTAATGGACATTGTCCTTTAATAGAGTACTTGCTTGATTCATATGCTTTGTTCGTATGATTTGTTCTATGTTACGAGATAGATCAGGAGAAAAAAAACTTAAAGATATATATTATAAGATATGATAAATATATATATTATGTGTTAACCTAGATGCCTTGTATATAGCGAAATGGTTTATTAATTGCCTATGCAATTCTTTGTTTTTAGGATGAAATTAGTTCATTATAGTAAATGAATCGATTGATAACACTCGATACTTATAATACGACAGAAACCATTACACATGTTGTACGTATAAGTGGGATAAATTCGAGTAAAGTTTATGTTATTTGATAATAGTTCAGCAGCACGTTAAGGCCATGGGATTTTTAAAAATCTTGGCCTTTTATGTAACTGCTTTTGTCCAATTATACTGCTACATCACAAACAAAATCATCCCCCCTCTTAATTTTTTCAGTAATACTACTTAAAGCCCTAAAAACTAGACTTGCAACGAATAGTATATTCGGCAGTATACCGAATACCGAATATTCGGCGAGGCCCCTGACCGAATAGCCGAATATTAGGCAAAAGTATTCGGCTGGATTTTAGGCCGAATAGGCCGAATAGTAACCGAATATTCGTTGCAAGTCTACTACAAACGGATCTGTCTAATATGATTGAATAAATTATTACTTTGCTCTCGTAAAGGTAACCCCAGTAAAAAGAGAGCAAGTAAAAAAAAAAAACTATAGTAAAGCGAAAATTATTTTTCTTGCCGGGGCGCCAACATAATGTGATGCTTTTTGACGGACACTTTTTCCTTCACAAAGCTGGTTCTCTTTACATTTACCCTCCATACAAAAAATAAATTTTAAAACACTTAGAATTTGATTTATATTCAGGATGATGGCTTTATCTTCCTTTCACTAAATTGCATGCATGGCGTAGTGGTTGAAGCGGTCACCATGCCGCTTCCTACTGGGCCCCCTTTCCCCCCCTCCCCCATTGGACACTTTGTGTGATACACAAATTGTTGTAGTTCCCCCTCGACACAGGAATATATTCCTAACGCGAGCGTTTGTCTATGAAAAAAAAATGGAAGTGGGTTCGATGAAATGGGACGGAAATGTGTAACAGGAAGCTGAGGAGCGAGAAAGGTGCTAGAATTGGCCGTCAGATGGTAGGTGAGACGTCAGATGTTACACATCATATGTGACTACTGTAAGACACTCGTTTTTTTAGTAACTTCTGGTCTAGCAGTATTAAATAAAATAATGTCATATTCCGCCTAACTATCGTAGTTTTCGTTATTACTAATACTAATTTAGTTTAATTTTTATTTCTTATTACAAATACTCGTTATTGAAGAAATATATGACCGGTTTTAAGTTTTGAGAGTTTTTTTAAATATTAAAGGTACAGTCAGAATCAGATATATGAGAAGTCTCAGAATAAAATTTGTTGTTGTTTTTTTTTAAGTTACTGTTCCAAATTATGTTTACATACGGTGTAAGTGTATATTAAATTTGATTTTTGATTTCTATCACTATTTAGTTTTCCTCCTCTATAATGAGACTTATAATTCAGGAGTTACTCTAAATATTAAAAGGACAGTCTGAATCAGATTGATATCACAATCGTTTAAAGTAATCCTAATATAAAATATGTTGTCTACTTTTTGGCGACTGTAACTGCTCCTGATTTTGTACTTATATTACTTGACGTATCATGAAAGTGAACATAAAAGTTTATTGTTTTCTTCTACCAGACCCACCTAATATTTGCCCTACAGGCTTTTAAAAATCTGATGCTGACTGTATTTACAAAATAATGTGGCAGTGAGGTAAAGAGTTGCATATTTTATAGTCAATGGAGGACATACAACATAATCAGGACAATTTACTCGTTATGTGGTAAATATATTTGATGTATGCTACTATGGACGTTGGGGCAATAAAATTTATGTTAAAGCTTTATATTTAATGTGGGTACTTTTATAATGTAAATAGTACTTGTCATTTAACTTAAACGATTTCTATTAACAATATTCAGTCATGCCTGCTTGTGAGTTAATTATTTGCGGGGTTCCAAGACCCTTGACAAGATTCCCAGGTGTGGGCATCTGTAGTACATAAATGTTTGTTTTCTTGTGTGGTTAAAAGGAATATGCAATAATATTGAACCATAAAATATATTTTATTATATTTATTGGATTGTATACTATATGTATGAAGCTTTATAATGTTATATCTCTAACACAATATGATTCATCATCATCAACCGCCTATAATAGTCCACTGCTGGACATAGGCCTCTCTGTAGAAAGGAGGTCTTGGCCTACTATACCACGCTGGCCAGACGGGTTGGTATAGGGTTTGTGTCAAGATTTCCTTCTCTTTCACACAGTACATTAGTACATATAAATCAATCATAATATGAACGAAAGTAACTTTTGACGTAACCATGTGCAATAATGAACGTGAACGAAATACTTAGTACCTACAGAATTGAGTTAAAAGTTCTAACTGACATACTCGTATAGTCAGTTATAAACAACTTTTAACGTCTACCGACGACGTAACGGCGTCTTTTAACTAATACATCTTTATAAGTTTATAAATATGTTTGGTTGCTTGTTCGTTTATTTACTTAAATTTCATGCACATGATTGATTATTTGAAGACATAATAACGCGTTGGAGCCAAGTTCGAAGATCGAAGTTAAAAATTGGACTATTATAGATAGATAGAATAAATACATTTATTGCTTATAGCTTAAATCTGAATTTATAATTCAATTGATGACTGAAAATTTATCCCTAAACCTGAAAATAACTTTCTATAACAGACAATTTTGTGCCCATTATTGTGATATTTTTATCATATTCATCCCCCGTAGAAAATAATGAATAATAGACACATTATTATTTGTTAAATACTAATTTTTTGTTCATTTCGCATGACATTTATTAAAATACAAGTCTTTGTAATAATTTGATTAATTAAAAGCGAATATTGCGATTGCTATTGTAAGTTGATCGTTACGATTGAACATTGCCAATCATTGTTTAAGTGTGTTTTCAATATGTCTGTTTGAGCCCCATGTACTAACATTGTGACGTTGGAACGTATTTGAAGTAAATAATTCGTATATATTATAAAAAGTATTATGTCAATACTCTTATTAAGAAAATAAATAATAAATAAATTAATCAGTTGTTTCATTTTATGTACGTATCAAGTCTTTGCTTTAATGAGCCATGTAACACAATAACAAAAAATTTAAATATTTAAAATTTATTAACTAATCTTTTTATTATAAGTGATTGGATAAGTATGATATTCATTTTTAAGATTTTATATTGTTCACAATGACCTGGGATTTAAAATATTGAGAATAGCTTCCGAACAAAGAGAGCAGCACTCCCAGACTCAAGTAATATACACTAAAACGGCAGTGAATCCTTGTGTTGACAATCCTTTACTCGCTGGTAAAAAGATCATGCGGTACTCCCAATGTTAGTAGAATTAAAAAAAAAACGTTGTCAAGTTTGCAATTGGTCTTGGTTCCATTTCCTAGGATTTTTTTAGTTGATATAAGATACAATTTTGTACACTAGATTTTCACTAATATTATTACCTATAGTAGCGATGCGCCCCGGCTTCGCACGGGTGCAATGTAGAAACTACTAATAATGAGAATAGTTTCTGAACAAAGGAGCATCACTCCCAGACTCAAGAAATATACAGCAAAGCAGCAGTGAATCCTTGTGATGACAATCCCTGGGGTTGCTCGCAGGTTAAGAGATCATGCAGTACTCCTGAATCTTAAAAAATAATATGAAAGCATTCTGTCGAAGAATGGATCTCTCTAGTCTACAGAATATGGGTTCAGAATTTCATACCCATAAAAACACTTTTAGTTGATTAAAAAAGACGTGTGGTGTCGTGGGACACCCGATAGGAACGAAGTTGTGACGATCGAGTAAAACTGATTCGACACGATTTTAATTACAACGCTATTACCTACATATTTTTCAGTTGGTTTCTAATTAAAACAATTTATACATTGGTAAAATCGCCTTGAGAAATGATTTCCTATCTATTCGATAGATGGCGCTGAATGACTGACATAAAAAGTGTCGTTACAACTTCTCGTGAGATTTTTTTCCGTCTAGCCCCCTTTCACAACGCGCGATAAGGAACTTCGTTCCAAAACCATTGCAATTGGTTCTTCGTTGCGTTATCTAGGAAATTTCTAAGTTCATATGATGTACAATTTTGTACACTTAGATTTACCCAATAATAATACCAGCAATCCGCAATGCAAATGCAATGTAGAAACTACTAGTACTAATGTGGTGTCAGTGTGGAGTAATTAATGATACTATTATTATGATAAGACTATTTACAACAGGACATCTTTATATGCAATATTTATTAGGCTGCTCCGATCCTGCTGGCAAATGCCACTCGGGATGGACGTAAGGCATGACGCACGCAGCGACGGCTGCGTTGCCCCGGCATTTTAATTCTCTAATATGTTTTAAGATATTTACTTCAATGACATGCTGTAATGTATGTATACAATTCCGTAGTACATTTTAATGATCTATCCTGTAAGGTTTAGCCAGCTTTTGCAATGTCATCGCATAGAAATGTTTTAACGACAATTCTTTGAAATTCTATAATATGCATGTTTTATACATATAAACCTTCCTCATGGATTACTCTATTGGTGAAAACTGCATTAAAATCCATTGCTTAGTTTAAAGGCGTACAAGAAAAAAAAGCGACTTTATCTTATACTGTGTAAAGATTTAATATGTTTGATTTATAGTATAAAAGGCTGTATACTTAGTTCCTAGAATAAATAACAAAGGGCAGTTGTATATGATTATACCTTTTTATGATTAAAAAAAATAACTAAAAAAATTGATGAATTTTATTCAAAAATGTAGGGACATTTGCATGAACAAATTAGTCAGCAAGGTACAGTACTTTCGTACCGTACACACTATAATACTTTATAATAATCAAATCTGGAGTTTCTGGCAAGTATACATTATAGGTAATTAGCAGAAACTCACTTCTCTTATTAATTTTCCAAGAACCTTTTAAACGCAGATGAATAACTTGCGATAGCGCTTTGCTTTCTCATAGCAAATCTTTGGAGAGCACCTGTGAAATGGCTCTGCCAGCCTTGAAGGAAGTTGAGTTCATAAATGTTCTTCTTGTAGCCGTAATGTTGTAAGAGAATGGGCTGCAGCGAGTAAGCAGTTGGTTTCACAAAGTATTGGCAATGGCCGACTCCAACAGTACCGTCAGCAAACACCAAATGTGACATGTTATTAGCTATTAATGCAATTATATCTATTTTGCCAACCCTTTCTAAAATATTAGAGAGGTTAATGAACAACAGGCTGGTAAATTTCTTAGAGCAAACAAAACTGTTGTCTCCATGTCAATATGGTTTTCGTTCCGGCTTATCCACGAGTAAAGCAGTCTTGGACCTAACCAATGAAGTCACAGCTAAGCTTGATGATAAACTAAAAGTTATGGGTGTTTTTCTAGACATATCAAAAGCTTTTAATATGATCTCTGTTCCTATCCTTGTAACGAAATTGGAAAAAATCGGTATCCGAGGTAGTCAACTGTCTCTATTCAAAAGTTATCTCATCAATAGAAGACAGTATGTTAAGATTAGCGATATCTGTAGCCAAGAGCTATTTGTAATCAATGGAGTCCCACAGGGCAGCATCCTCGGCCCTACGTTATTTTTATTATATATTAATGATCTGTGCCAATTACAACTAAACAGCACCAAGATTTTTACTTACGCCGACGATACAGCCCTCATATCTTATGGCAGCTCTTGGGAGGCGGCATTTGAGAGTGCACAATCGAGTCTTAACGCTGTTACTAATTGGCTGGCCTATAATCAACTCGCACTCAATGTTGATAAAACTAGTTACCTCACATTTTCACTAACTTCACTTGGTAGGCCTTCTTCATTATTCTATACCCTCATCGCTCACTCCTGTAATCCTCTCTCACAGGCCTCTTGTAATTGCCCCAACCTGTGCCGAACTAACAGTGTAAAATATCTAGGGGTACAGATTGACGACACTCTCTCCTTCCATTCACACATAGACGCACTATCCTCTAGACTACGAAAGCTCATATTTGTCTTTAAAACCCTCGGTCAGGTAGCTGATACACAAATACTTAGGACCACCTATCTTGCTCTTTGCCAGTCTCTGACGCAGTACTGCATCGTTACCTGGGGAGGTGCAGATAAAACATATCTCCTTAAATTGGAGCGTGCCCAAAGGGCGGTACTAAAAGTTGGTTGGAGGCTACCATACCGTTTCCCGACCACTGATGTTTATAAAACCTGTAATGTGCTCTCTGTCCGTAAACTATTTATCCTCTCCGTTATTCTTACGACACACTCTCAGACTCCTTATGATCCTTCGAAATTTAAGTCTGTTCGTCGAAAGTATACTGTATGCCCGTCAAACCCGGTCAGAACAAGACTAGCACAGCGATGTTTTTACCACTTTGGTAACTATTTGTACAACAAAGTTAACAAAATCCTGAATGTGTACCCAATGACTAAATTTCAATGTAAAAAAGCTGTTACCAAGTGGTTGATTGATTTGGATTATGACGAAACAGAAAAGATAATCTGTACTTTAAAATAAGTACTGTCACTCATGCACATACACAAACACACACACACGCACACACACTCAACACACACACACACGCACGCATACACTAATTTCTAATTCTTCTTACCTTTTTTAATTATATTTTGAATTAAAAAAATAAAACTAAAAAATGTATCACGTTGCTCAAAATCTACATGTATATGTATTGCATCTGTATCGCTAAGGTGGGAGCCTGGAGATTTGTCACACAGGTTTCGAACCTACTACAAACTCCAGCTCTCACTTTTTAAAAAAAAAAAAAAAAAAAAAAAAAAAAAAAAAAAAAAAAAAAAAAAAAAAAAAAAAAAAAATTAAAAATTAACAAAGAATGGCCCTTTGTATATTTTTAAGTATGTCGGATTTTCGTCTAAACCCTCGATTTTCTGAAGGCCACCTCTATTCATAATGTGCACAGTTTTATCAGATGTGTGCAAAAACAAATTGTCATTAATGTCAAACACGATGTCCCGTACGTTCGCGGGTTTGTCAATTCTCTCCTTGTTGGTTCCCTGATCAGTTACTTTATATAGAATATAATCATCAGTCAGTACGTATATTGTGTCGTTGCCGTTCGCTTTTACTAGACTGATTATACCTTCAGTAATCGTGCCGTATCTCTCAGCTGTATTATTTTGTGCATTGTAATGGTATAGTCCGTTTGCCGTTCCAAAGTAAGCAGTTGACGTGTGATCTTTAGCGGCAGTCGATACCCTTGCGCTATCAAGTAACTTAGTGATTTGCCCATCTCTTCTAACGTAAAGGCCTTTGTCGACTCGTTGTCCGCTACTGAAATCAGCTAATACGAAGAATAGTAGTGTGTGATGTGCATACAGGTCTCTGTTTAGGGCGTTCAAAGGGAACAATATATCTACAACGTCATACTCTGCCCTGTGAATGATCAGATCGTCTTTGAAAAATTCGTCAGTGACGCTTATTATTTCGTCAGACATAAATACATATGATTCAGGTGCTGATTCAGCTGCTGGCAGAAAGACTGCAAGCAGCACAGAAATCAAAATCACAAGCAGCCTCATCATGCCACCTGAAAAGTGTTAAAAAAAGCTATGAGCCTGATGACACCAAGACTAGCTGTTCACCGCAGTTTGAAAGTCTTATAAACTGCTTCAATGAATACTCTTTGCAAAACAGAAAATATCATTTAAATAAGACTAATTTATACTCATAAAATAAAACTGAAGACTTTGTTTGGTTGAAAGCGCTAACTTCGGGAACTGGTTCGAATTGAATTTTTGACGTGACAACGTCTTATAAATTGGTTTGCCGGGTGACACTTCAAGAAACTGCGTTACGCTCCGCTCACGTTATGCGCTCACAATGAGAGCGAGTGAGAGGCACGCGTCCCTTCCACTCGGGCATGGTTAGCCCGCCTAAGAGCGAGAGAGACAGACATAAAAAATGTTTTAAATTGTTACTATTATTTCATCCTTCTTCCTACTATACGAATGAATATTCACATTAAAATTATTTTACCACTCCAAGTCGTTGTCACGTAAAACTTTCGCCCGTATACCGACTTTACAGGCAACCAATTTTTTTTTTTTTTTTTTGTGTTTAATAACCCTTTCATCGAAGAAGGCTGTATAACATCACTCTAAGACCGATAGGCGCCGAGCATTTACGAAAAAGATTGCAAAAACAGAGAACACAAAAAACAATAAGTACTTTGGTTTTTATACTTATTAATATAGATTTGTGGAATATGAACTGTAAATATAACTCAGAAAGACAAAATAGTTAAGATAGCATGCATAAACGATTTTGGCGTTCGTTCCCATTGAGGGATCATATTTAAATTATGAGATTTTTAATGCGTCAATCTTTAGTAAAAGTTCTAAAACAATTGTGAATTCAGCCTCTAGTTTATACGAGTAAAAGTAGCCACTCAAAAGTTACAATCGGTCAAAGCTGGTCCCTCAGTCGTGACTGACAGGCATTTTAGTTTTGTATTCTAGTTCTTTTTACACAGTGAACGGGAAAGGTTGATATTTAATAAATTTGTTTTACAAATCTTTTACTAAAAGTAGTCATTTATAGCAATTGCAAATTATAACCTGGTTATGAGATATAAATTGTCAGTCACGACTGAGGGACCACCTTTGACCAATTGTAACTTTCGAGTATCTACTATTACAAACTAGAGGCAACATTTTTACAATTGTTTGAGAACTTTTACTAAAGGCTGACTCATTCGAACGAATGAGACCACGATTTTTTTTGTGGTATGTTTGCTAAAAACGGACTACTAACCTAACCTAACCAAAGATCGTCTGGTGGTCGAACTTCGACCATTTCGAATGTCTGTTTAATTACAATCTAAACTTTATATAATATATTATTATAAAACTGAGGAGTTTATTTGGTTGAACTCGTTAGTGTTGGATAGCCGATTTCGATATAACATCACGTCTATAGAGGCATCAATGAATAATGTTGTAAAACATAAAATGTTTTCCTTTTGAGAGACGTAGACGACCAATATCGTATGACCTTTGCAAAGACAGGTCACAGAGGTACTCTGTCACCTGTCTTTGTAGAAAAGTTTAAATCAAAAAAGAATAAACTGACAGACTGATACACTGACTGATCGATCAACGCACGGCTGAAACCGCTGGGTCTAATTTATATGAAACTGCCTTATTTCTGGTAGTAGCGATTTCAAACTCACAGTAAATATTCTTTATTGAAAGTAATAAAAAACGTGGTTACAATTTTTTTAAAACTACTCTTAAAAAGTTTGTATGGGGAACTATTTTTTTTTAACTTTTCTATTTCAAACTCTCAGTAAAATTACTTCAATGTCTGATGTAGACTACCACGCGGACGAAGTCACGGGAAAGGTTAGTATTTTAAATAGCCATTTTAACATAATTTTAAACTTTTTGTTTTACAATTGTTGCTTTCGGCACTTCTATTTCTTCTTTTCTTTTTTTAATATTATATACCTATTTTTAATAGTCATTATAATAATATGTTACCATTTTAATCTAATACATACATTTAAGTTACATTTATTATTATTTTTTATTCAAGTCAGATCATATAACCCGCCCCGCGTCGCTCCCGGTGCAAAGGTGCCCATGATACTGGCAGCATTGCCTCGCTGAATTGCAACGGCATTCTTTGCACCAGAAACGAGCCGGAGCGGGAGTCACCACTTTTTTCCCTAACTCGGCGACCAATCTCCGCAATTTTTAATTATTATATAATATTTTTAATTATTTTATAAGAATTCTTTTCGCGTATTTAATTAATAGATCTATATGAAAAGCTCAAAAACAGTTTGCGTTCTCCTACTTATCTACGAAACTTATTTTGATATGAAAAATTATTACTACTCACGTTTATAAGTCGCCGCACAAATGAATATTGACAATAAAATTTTTGTAGTTGTATTTATATATATATTGTATCTCTATTATCATTTAGATTGTATGTCATAGTAATTTCCAGCGCGTGCTTACGTCAATGGGACACAATTGTATCAGGAATTACGTAAAATCTTCAGAAATATATACACCACCAAATTTACATTTAATACTTCATTTAGAAGTAATAATAAATAATAATAAAACAAAATGAAACTGATTTAAAACACAATAAAACAAGTAGGTAAATTATTTATTTTATGCTTTTTAGTCAAATGACTGATTAAAATCCTAATTCGAAAGATCCTAATCGAAGAATCCTAATTCTGTCAGAATAATAGGTAACGCTATTACAAAAGCACAAAGTACCTATCTGAAGACCATAGGACCAATTCTCGTTCTGAAGGCCAGTAACGTCGCACTACTGCGACGACCGCAGCGAGTGCTGGCCATCAGGATCATAAGGGGGTACCGCACGATCTCTTTTGAGGCGGCGAGTCTCCTGGCCGGAACTCCACCGTGGGACCTGGAGGCGAGGGCCCTTGCGTCTCTGTATCAGTGGCGCAAGGAGCCGCGGGAGTTGGGTCGGTGTCCTGAGTCTCGAGACATCGAGGATCAGAAAGCCCAACTCCGCGAGGTCCTAGTGGAGGAGTGAAAGGAACGACTTGGACAACTGAGCGCTGGGCACGCCGTTATTGCGGCGGTAAGACCCGTTATGGAGGATCGGCTCGAGTGGCATCACTGAACCCTCTCTTACCGGTTGACGCAAGTGATTACCGGGAAAGGATGCTTCGGAGATCACCTGTGTCTGATCCGCAAGGAGCCAACGCCTGAGTGCCACCACTGCGATGGCCGAACCGTGGACACAGCGCTCCATACGCTGTCAGAATGCCCGGGGTGGGTGGAGCAGAGTCGTTGCCTCGTGGCGGCCATCGGAGTGGGAGTTCTCTCGCTCGGTAACATGATTGCCGCCATGGTACGAAGCGAGAGTGCGTGGAACTCCGCCGTCTCCTTCTGCGAGCAAGTTATGCTTTACTTTTGGTTTACCTGGTTCCCCGGCAACTGGTACCCAAGACATAACCACCGGTGGGTGGAATCCGGGGGGATTTCCGCACAGAAAAATACCTTACGACCTAAAAAGTTCGCTTACAATTCAGTTCCGATCAATTCTCGATTTCACAACTCTCATAAAAGGTACATTCGAAGCAAACTATTAAACATCCCACATTGACTATAATGTGATTTTATCGTATTGTAACCGAAACTTGAATCGGTAATCTGCTAGTCTTAGTAATACTTTACTATATTACTACGAGAATACCTTTCATAACAGAGTCGAGATCGAGAGTTGATCGGCACTGAATTGTGACCGAATGTTTATTACGAGAATTAGCCTTCTGTTTGAAATCGGTACAGAGCCAAAATGCACAAGTAAATAGGGTAGGGTGAAATTAGATTCATCGTTGACGTACTTTTCAAAAGATATTGAATTGCAATACCTTAGTATCCCATTCATTTACAAATTTGCATACACATCAGGTATTGGCATACAAATTGACGCCGGGCCGAGGCCAAAGGACAGGATCAGGTGTCATTCTTTTTAAAAAAGCGCCTCCGTCCTTACCGAAAGAATTTGGGCACCCCTGAAATAGGTACGTTTAATAAACATCCCAGTTAAGCTACAAATCCCTAATTTTCTTATTGTACTGCGCCATAAGACGCTTATCAAACAAATATTTATCTTAAAAGTGTAACCCTATAAGAATTGTGATTACACTATATTATCTAGAGTTCAAGACACTAACGCTATTCCTGAAAAGTTATCGGTGACAGCGATGTATACCGCGAGGATCCAGGTTCAAATCAAACTCGATATTTTAAGGCTCTCCTCCACAGGCGCGTTTTTATCAGTTGATAATATCGGATGCGTTATTGCGATAATGCGTCCCGATTATTCTCATGCAGCTCCGTTTTATCGTCCTATAATTCTATTTCGTATTCGTGTTTTTAGCAGCCATTTATTCCCTAATGCCGGGCAGATTCGTTATTTTGTGATGTGATGTCACACTCGATCGATCCCCTACCGGCCCCCGCCGCGCACGCAATATTTTATGAAAGTAGTCTATGTACCCCTACCTTAATTTGATTTATATTAAATTATTTACTTACGCTTTTAACGTCATCGTCGGTCATATGACATACCTATTGTTAGTGATGCCTACTGTGATTTTGACTGACTTTAAACAGTCAGAATTCGTTCAAACTTTGTAGATATATCGAGGACCGATGACAATACACTAATTTAAAAAAAAAAAGTTTTAAAAAACAAAAAGACACGCTTACTATCGAAAACCAAACTAAAAAATAGAAAATAATTTGAAAAAAAGCGTGGGTAGCTTTTTACTATTGACAACAAGAAAAAAAGTTTGAACGAATTCTGACTGTAAGAATAATTCTAAAATCAAATACGTTAAGATTTTTTTGATTATTACACTTTAAAGGGGAATGCCCACTACCCATAGACACTTTGGCCCTAAGTGCACACATATAAAAGCATATGGAAACGATAATATACAATTTAAAGAATGAAATGATTAAGGAATTCGTATTAAAAAAAGTCGGAATTTTTAAGATATAAAATGATTTTAATTTTCAGAAATAACTACAGTTTTTTTTCTTATTCATCATTTTATTGTTATTCTCACATACAATATCAAGTTATATGTAGTTGTTAGGTATTTTATGATCATACATCATTTGTGTCATACACAATTAGTACATCATCCAGGAATTGAGCCGGAGGATAAATATTTGTTTGATGTCGTGCCCAACCCAAATACCATATTACTGTCATTATATGGGCACAACATCCTACCGTTCGACGGCCAACAATACAGTTACAACAATACTTTTTAATTGCACTTCTGCCAGAATCATTGACACTAATTAAAATATATATAAAATATATTTTTCGACTGATGTTTCGACTTGCGATTCTAGCCCTAAGTAAAGAGCAGTTAGGACTAAGGTGTATTCCTTCCATAATGCTGCTCCTATGGTCATTGCATACTTCTATGTGGTAGCAACCATTAGCTCTTATATGCTCACCATAATAGGAGAGAGCTTGCTTTAATTGGTATGTATCACAAGCAATTAGTGCTAAGTCGCTGTAAGTTCAAATAGGAAATTAACTAACATTTTCTGAGCCTACGTTTATATTTCTAAAGTCTGCCCTAGCTCTATTAAAATAAATAAATAAATAATATTAGCACTAACATAATGAAATCATAATAATTACCGAAAATCGAATAATATAGCTATAAAATAATGGCAGAAAATAGCGCTAGGAAGCGCTTATGAGCGCTACTGGCGCTTATGAGCGCTGACACAGTTTTCGGCCAGGACACGTTTGCTAACTTCAGTAGCGCTGACACAAACCGCCATTTTGCTTATTTATTTTGTTTGTTTTAAAAGTAGAATTTATAAGATGTTTTGTGCAATTAGTTTCAAGTAATATTAAAATAAATAATAATGTCAGTCCAAAAAATAGTAAAATTAGTAATTGGGAACACTTAATATTTTGTCAGAAACCAATGAAATACGGATAAACGTAATTTCACTTTTATCTTTTCGGTACTTTTATTTTCTGTTTAAATGTTGCAGACCTGTCAGGATAAATGAATACCCCAATTAATAAATAGAAAATAAGATGTTTTTTTCTAACAAAAGCAAATTGTTGGGCGTTTCATGGCCGAAAATGGGCATTCCCCTTTACTATTATAATGGCTTACAACTTTTTCTATGCCATAAAGAGGCAAAGGAGCTGACCAGTCTCCTGGGCCTCAATTCTGCTAGTCTAATATTGTATCAATAGACTGTCGATGGAATGTCGTCGGAATAGTTTTGCACTTTTCTTATTCTACTAACTATGTAAGACCAATGGCGTACCGATAACTTGTCACTGAACTGTCAATGATACAAATGTCGTCAATTACTTTTAATAGTTTGGTAAACGGTAAATTTTAAATTTGTAAGAAAATGATATATTTAATTTTCCAGGTATAGCAATCTTGTATCGACATATCATATTGACAGTGTACTGACATTGAATTTATGTTAGTAGAATACCGATTTCAATGGCATCTCAGTAGCGTCTCAATGGAATGACAGTGGCTTGGCGTGACCATAATAGCAGAAATGAGGCCCTGATGGTAAGTAACCACCTTCGGCCATGGTTACCTGCAACTAAAGAGTACCAAGTGAGTTGCCGCCTTTTGAGTTCCTTCTCCTGATTCTAAGGAACAGCTAGTTATCTCGTTCCTAGCAATGCCTTATCAGCATAGACCAATAATTGGTCTATGCTCACCAACAGACATGGAAATTTTGCTACATTTAAATCATATTCATTTGATGAATAATTGGTTTTAGTCACAGCGATTTCACATGTGATTGTAAATTCATCATTGACAAAGATAAATGGCATTAGAATCAATCAAAATTCCTTTTATCAAAGATCGCGAGTCTTGCGCTAGTGTAATAATAATAATTAACTAGCAGTTGTTTTGTAGTTTAGCCACAGGTGTGACGATACGATTTGTAAATCATACAATTTATCACACAGCATTGTGATTTTATTCCACCTCTCCTCGCCACCTTAACAAATTTTTCTATAATAATAATAATAATTTATTTGCATAATTTAAATATAATAATATATTTATTTGCAGAAAATGTGGTAGTCACAGTAGGTGGTTTACAATGTTTAAAGCACAAGACACATTTCGCTATATTTAGATAGCATGCAAATTTTTAAATTGTGCAGGTAAAATTATGAAATAAAATTACATTACATTGCACTTGAAATATCAAAAATCAAACATTTTTAAAATTGTACAGGTAAAATTATGAATAAAATAAAAATAAAATTACATTACATTGCACTTAAAATATCAAAAATCATATTAAAAATAATTACTACACTAATGCATTTCTGAAGTGATATGACTGAGTAGAGTACTTTTTTAAAAAATCATTGACGGAGTAAAAACACTCTGCTATTAGCCAATTTTTTAATGAAGTACAAAATCTGTGATAAGGAAGAGTTGCAATATTCTCCGGCAACGCGTTATAGATAAGTGGTGCCATGTAAACACAGCTCACCCTAAAAATTTCTAGGCGAGGTACTGGTAATTTTAAATACGAGTGAGTATTTTTACGTTTGTTGGTATTGTCCTTAACTTCAAACAGCTCTTTATTGCACTTCACGAATTTAGCTACTTCATAGATGAATATGCCAGGGACGGTCAACAGATTATGAGATACAAAGATCTATCTTCTATCTATCTTTCATATAACATACTATACTACTTCAGCCTATAACCGTCTACTGCTGAACGAAGGCCTCCTCCAATCAGCGCTAACCATCTCGATCTTGGGCATTCCACATCCATCCGCTGCCAGCCATTTTCCTCAAGTCGTCGGTCCATCGTGACGCAGGGTGCCCTACACGTCGGCTCCAGCGACCATCAGCCTGGAGACATAACCGGCGTACTTCCACTTCAGCGTATTGATTCTCTGTGCGACGTCACTTACTCCATTTCATTAATATAGAACTTTCTCCTCCATACTGAGATTTCTGGTCTTTCGTACATATGGAACTCTCAATTTTCTCATCTAACTCCTAAAGGTTGACGACAATAAGCTATACGTGAGTGGGTTTAAAATTATTGTGATCACTTTAGTGAGATTAAAACTGTATTTGATAATATGATCAATTCTCTAAATCCACACTAATACGAGTATTATAAATGCGAAAATGTGTCTGTCTATTACCTATTCATGCTTAAACCGTTAGACCTATTTAGATAAATTATGTTAAAGAGATAGTTCGAGTCCCGGGAATGGACATCGGATAGTTTTTATCCCAGAAATCATTCTATAAGGGGGTGAGGCAGGGGTGGAAATTAGTACGAGGAATCGATAATCGCTAAATCGACTTAGATGAAACTTGGTATGGACATAGTTTGAGTTGTGGGGAAGGACTTAGTTAGATGTTGACTTCCTTACTTCTTATCATGTTATATATGTAATGTTTACTCTTAATTTTGTTAATAACAATGTGTTGCCTAAAATTATCTTCTTTTTAGTTTCTTGGGAACTCCAATTGATTAGATAAATACGAGGGTATGATGTCAAAAAAAATATATTTTTTAAACACTGACACAACTTAGTAGGTGCCTATAAAGTAATTTTTATATTCCATATTCGTCAGAAAATATATCATTTAAGACTGATAAGTGGAACATTTAATAATAATATAATCTACTGTCTCCAAAAGATGCAATATTTGTGAATACGTTTAGGAAATACCTCAACGAATTCATAAAAATTGCTTTTGTATTTAGGTTAAGAGAAATTAGTAAGTGTAAGATTATTTTTTCTTTTGTGTTGCTGGTAGATTGTAATTCTTTTCTATTTGTTATTTGTATAGTTTTGATTAATATATAAATAACATAGATAGATTTGGATTCAGCGCAACAAAATCCTTCGAGAAAGTATACTCTGGTTTCTGGAAATAATTTTTTTGTTGACCTGTGTGTTTATTTATTTATACATCTTTATGGTACACCGCTACAGTCATGGATGGACATCTACATTTTGGTATTACAATAGGTATATTTAATACTTATTTTACATTAAAATCTACATATTTTAACACTCAGAGACTAATTAACCTATAAGGCACTGCAGATTGACCTAGAATCATAACATTTGTTAAATAGCAAGGTCTTACAGCTCAAGTTAAATGAAACATCGAAAGGCGATTACAGATTCAATTACTGCATTTAAAACTCGACTGTGACGTATATTGATACGAGGGGGAGTATTTTATCATCTGATGCCATCGCCAATGAACGTCTGCAACTCAGCATTCACACTCTTTTCTTGAGGGTTTGTAGGTCGCATCAGTCCGGACCGGAAATACAGCAGGAGGTATTTTTCTTGCAGAATGCATAGTGGTGGAGTGTCAAGTATCCAAGTGATGGGGATAGCTGTTTGCCGGAGAGCTGCGGCCGGTGTTAGTCTCAACAATTCTTCGGCGCAATCTCCATGATACAAGCGGTAAAATAATACAATATTATATTCTAAACATTTTATGCTGTACACGATTTTATGCTGTACATTTTATGCTC